TTTTTTACATAAGTTTCGTATAATTTATGTTAACAAAATTTAGAAAAATTATAATTTAATTGAATCAATCACAATTTAATCTTTTGAGATGCAAACAAGATAGGTGTATTATTATAAAATGTATATTTGTGTCACAATATATCAGGTGATTTTACGGGGCCGATGATCCATACAACACATCCCAAAATTTATTTGGATGGATTCGAGTGAGTTTAGTGGTTGAACCACCCATTGTCCATCCCTACATAACACATGTTTTTTTTAAATAAAAAGTAATGCCTATATTTCATCAAACGGTGCCCACATTGAGCAGGTACAAGAGTTCATAGTACAAGACTATCATATCGGTGATCTTCCTATCAAAATACTTCATAGTACAATACTTGCATTGGTACAAACTTAAAAATGTCCAATTTTTTAAAATCCAACAACACATTCACTGGAACTTTAGGCTTCTCTTAGATGTAGCACGAGTAGCCTACATATCACCTACCAACTTCCATTCAATGACTTGTTCGTTTCCTGGACCAACTCATGAGATGTTAACCTCTGTTTCTCAAACACACACTAACATCTTTCACGCCATATCTCACCCACAAAGAGGTTCCATACCAGTCTACCGTTTCTGCAATGTTTAAACCTTTCAACTGCCAGCATCGCCCATGCTGCCAATCTTCTGAGGCATGCCCAATTTGGAGGGAAACCCATCTGCAAGATCTCTTGCACAAAGACACTCAAAATATATATGTTCTCTAGATTTAGAATAGTCTATGCATAATGGACAACAAACATTCATTTCAGGTTTCCATTTCTTCACTTTAACCATAGTGGTTATTCTATTAATTTGTATTGGCTATGTAATAGCCGAGTTTCTACGGGATCATTAAAGGTTTCTAGATCAGCTTAAACAATGGGACCTTTGCCTACTTTGCTCTCAGCTCTTCCCATATGTTACTTGTTGAGTATTTCCCATTAGTTGGTTTTCCCACATCATCCTATTTGATACAACCATCATCTTCACTTAAACCATAACTCTAGTTTTTATTATCGTATTCCAAGCCCAAAAACTAGAAGTGCTTACTCGCCAAAAGTTTCTATTTCGAAGTCTGCATTTTTTTAGTTAGGCAATCCACATAGATTCTTTATCAACTAAAGTTGGCCATACATGCCTCGAGAAGCAAGTAGTGTTCCAACTCTTTGGGTCCTTAATTCCTAGCCCACCTTCCTCGTTTGCTAAAGCTAAAAATTCCTAAGATATTTTTCCTTCTTCATTTCAGAACTAGAAGACTAGAGGAATTACGAGCATAATCTCTCTACCCTTTTTACAACTGTGCCTAGAAGTTAAAAAAAATTATCAAACTGAGTGACACTATCCAGAACAACTACTATAAGTTGCAATCTGCCTGCATTGGATATTAATTATGCTTTCCATCTGTGTATATGTTTTGTGAATTTATCTACAAGCGTCTTGCATTCCTTTAATTCAAATTTCCAGTAATTAAAGGAACAACTAAATATTTACTGACTGTTGTATTACTTCCTCCTTCCTCTCCCCCTCTATTCCAACACTAAAAACTCATTCTCACGGGTTACATTTCAACCCCGATATCATATAAACCTTACCTAGAATCTCTGTTATTAACCACCCCCACCCCCGGTATAGATCACTTGGTAAAGATTAATAAATCATTTAGCAAATACTAAATGTGATAAATTTATACGTCCACAATGAGGATGAAAGGGAAAGTAATTTGTAGTTGCAGCTTTGCTAAGCTTACATGATAGAACCTCCATGAAATTGCAAGAAGTAGGGGATAGTGGATCCCCTTATCTCAACCCTTACTGTGCACAAAAATTCTCAGATAAACCTCCATTGATGCAAACTAGAAAAGTGGCACTACCTTGCCACTGGAAAGACAGTTTCTAACACAAACATCAAACTTTGATGTGAATCTCATAGCAAACATGACATCCAACAAAAGATGGGGTTTTTTAAGAAAAATGCTAATTGACATTATCAAACGACTTTATTGTGCCAATTTTTTAAGCACATCTTGGTGATATTGTCTTCTTATTATATCACTTAACCATTTCATGTGTCAGGAGTATGTTATCACTAATCAATCTTCCTTTAATCAAGGATGATTGAGTAGTGCTAATCAGTGTACGCAATGCCTTTCTGATTCTTAGGGCGAGTATCTTTGGGACACACTTGTATAGTACATTGTAGCAAGAAATAGGTTTAAAATTCTTCATAGCTTCAACAAAAGATTTAAGTCAAGAGCTATTAACCTTTTGCTTATGTGTCCATGTAAATCGCGGTCCTAGACATTTATGATCCTCCAACTACATCTCCTCTATCTAGGTACATAAATTGGAGTTGCTTGTACCCATATAAATTGGAACATAAGACTCAGTCTGAGTCATTATGGCATTAGAGTCTCCAACCACTAACAAGGCAAATCCCTGACCACATTATTGTGCACTTGAACATACATTTCCTTTCTCATTTGCACCATATACAAAGGTGTGGAACACCCGATGACTTTCATGTGTATAACCATGGATGAATTGGTCTATAGGATGCAAAACTGAACATCATTCCCCCACAACACCCAAATAATCTCAAATTGAGACATAATAATATCTTCAACCCTCCATTCAACAAAAGACTTGTCCACAATAGTTTTGCATTTTCCAATGCCACTCTGCTTTCTAGAATTGCTATTATATCCACCTTATTTATTCCTAACATTTCTTTGAGAAACTCATGTTTGTTTGTATCATTAGACCCTCTCATGTTCTAAACTAAGACCTTCAATTGGATTCAGCCGACCATGCCTTTTTTTTTAACCTTCTCAACACCTTTCCCTACTATTTGCAATGCTGTGAATTCATCTACTATCTTTTCAGGTGAAACTGCTATACCACCAATCTCAAATTGCTCAATACCTAGCAAAGCTTCAATCATATTCTTTGTTGGACTGTTATTCTTTGAATAAGCTTCAATCATATTCTAGAACTCCTTATCAGTAGGAAGAACAAATCCTTCCTTTTGAGTTTCAAGAGAAGCCACCAGATTTGCAACAACTCTGCTCAAGTTAAAGCACACATTTTCAGATTGGTCACGAAACTTAGCAAGAGTCATAACCTTGGACACCTTACCTACATGACCAACTTCCATAAAAGCAGTATCAGCTACCCATTCACCGGCACCAGAGAACCACCCCAGAAATGCATTTAGTGTTTTTTACCTCAAGCTTCCCCTTCTTAGTTACCTCTATCATATTCCCACTTTCTTTCTCTACTCCGTGAATTAAAAACCTAGCTTCAATGCCCTTTTCTTTGTTACAATTGTGTCTCAAGACCATGCACTTCTTACAGATCATCGGGAGCTTGCAATACTAAATGTTAACAAACAAAAAAAAAAGAGCCCGATAATCAAGTATCATCTTCAGCTTCTTTGGGAAATCCGAATCCAACTCCATCTCAACACATGCCTTCGGAAAATGCAGCAACTCATGCCGACATACCCCTAATTTACTCCTAATTTCTTTTTGATTATTTTGGGGGAGGTTTTTAGGATTAATTTCAATTTTAATTGAGTTGAGATATAAAATAATAATTTAAAAGAAATTAGAATTAAATTAGGGGTATTTGAGTCATTTCCAACCAATTAAACGGTAGATTAACAGAAAACTAGACGGAAGGACATATTTATTATGTTTAAATATTAAAAGGATATGTTAGTGCTAAAAATTAGTAGATGTGTACGATTATTAATTTACAATAGTAAATATGTACAAAATGCTATTAACCAAAGAAAATGGGTAAATGCCATGTTTGGTCACTGAATTTACTAAAACGTGTCTTGTTTAGTCACCGGAAAAAATTAATATAAATGTTGTTCATTCAAATTAGTAAAACGGTCCACGTTTAGTCACTCTCCGTTAGTCTCCGTTAACACCGTCAGTGGTTAACAAAAGTGCTGACTCACCCTTTTTTAACTCGCCATGTCATCTTTCTCAACCCAATCCTTAAACCAAACCTATTAAACCAAATCAAATGCAAAAAAGTTTGGTTTAACAAGGGTAAAATACTTCTCGTGCCATTAAACTTCTAGAATTGGGGCAAGGATACCACTCAACTACGATTAGGGCCTCGGTTACCACCCAAATCAAAGAATTGGTGCCCCGTTTTAATTTTGCGTTAAACCCACTAACGGGGTGGAGAAAGAAAACGGAACTGCCATGTCAGCGCTCCATGGAGCCCACCTGGCTGCTGACTCATCTTAGAGGCAAACAAAATTGGGGGAAATCCGGAAAACATTTTAGGTTTATTTTGAAAGGAACTATTGGGTTCCCTTTTGACGAGTCGAGTTCTAGGTCTTTCTCACTGTAGTACTTGGTCGAATCTGGCAGGAGGGACTAGCGGAGAAGAAGACGACAGTGGGAAGGGGGACCGTCTTTGATCCTTTTCCTTTTGCTCGGCCAATATGCCTGCAGTCCTAAGAGAATGTACTTCTCTCCATTCTCTGCCCACTTAAGGTAAAGAGTTTTTGTTTATTCACACTGTGCATGCCAGATTTTTCTATTTCCTTTCTTTGTTTGATTGTAGGGTTAGTGGTCCCCATATTTGGTTTTCTTTTGATCAGAATGGTGGAATGTCCCATATGAATATGGTTTTCCTATTCTTTTTCTTTGTTTTGATTGTTTAGGGTTAGTGGTCCCCAGGTTTTGTTTGCTTTCCATAGTGTTTGCGTAGGGCATGTAAGTGGTCCATGTCTTTTGCATTTTAGAGCTTTTTGTATGTTAGCATGGATTCCAACACCTTAGTTTTTTGTCTTTTTCCCTCTATTGTCATGTCACTAGTACAATATATATCAAGTTGAACTGCATAAGTAACAATAAACTACTCTTAGTCTTTTAATAACATTGTTTGTTTATGCTTTAGGGATTTGTGAAGAGAAGTTCACAATTGAACTACATTATGGTGGACATATGGAGTATATATCGGCTGATATTGGCTCTTACATTGGAGGAAAAGTTCACCATTGGGATTGGGTTGACCCAGATTTGATGTCCCTCTTAGAGTTAGATGGTTTTCTAACTGACGTTGGCTACCAAGAGCAAGTGAAGACCAAGAACATAGAAGAGTTTCGGGTTAAGAATAACTATTCTTACTACTATAGAAAGGAGGGAATGAATATGAAGGAAGGGCTGGTGGAGTTAAAGTCTGATCAAGACTTACTATCTATGTACATAGATAGACTTACTATCTATGTGCAAAAGTTGTATCTCATTAAGAAAAAGGATTTGGAAGACAACCTATCGACAACCAATTTGAGAGCTAGTCCAAATGCAATGCCACAAACAAATGAAGTAGGTGAAGATATAGACACAGATTGTGGGGATTCAGATGATCTAGGCAGCTGCCATTCGAGTGATGACGAGAGTCGAACAAGAAAAAAATTAGAAGAGTTTAATCCGGCAAGAGATATGGAAAATCCCCAGTTCTGTGTTGGAAAAATTTTCAGGGACTTAAATACTTTCAAGGAGGCTATTATAGCTTATTCAATCAAGAACAAGTTCCCATTGAGGTTTGCCCATAGTGATCCGACGAGAGTTCAGGTATGTTGTGATAAAAATTGTGCTTGGAACATTTGGGCATCACCTTCTCAAGATGGGAACAAAGTTCACATTAAAGCATGCACCCTACAACATGACAGATGTGTTCTGCTTACAAGGCACAAGTGGTTCACTTACAAATTCATCGTCAGGAAGTATCTTCTCAGATTCGAAATTGATCCTAAATGGGGTAATGACTCAATAGCTCAAACGGTGGAAGAAGATTTTCACTATAGCACTTCGAAATGGACAGCAAGAAAGGCTCGAGAATATGCAGTGAACTTGATACGACGGTTGCTTGTAAGGAGGGCTTTGCAGCCGGTTGCAGGAAGATCATCTTCCTTGACGGTTGCTTCTTGAAGACGCTTCATGGCGGACAACTCCTTTCAGCCGTTGGCATTGACGCCAATGACGGTATTTTCCCTATAGCATATGCTATGGTGGGAGTGGAGAACCAAGACAACTGGACTTGGTTTCTGGCACATCTTCTCCAAGACTTAAAAGTTCCTGAGCTGTGTGACAAGTGGACATTTATGTGTGATAAACAAAAGGTAACATGAATCTGATTTGGTTGACATATTTTTTTTTTCCTCACATGCTATCTAGTAATAATTCTCATTTACCTTCTGTTGGACATATTTCTTATCTAGGGTCTGGTTAATGCATTATCACAGTTGGCACCATATGCAGAGCATCGATTCTGTGTTAGGCACCTCTGGTCTAACTTACAACGAGCTCATGCAGGTAACAAAACCACAAAAGACCTGTTATGGGCAATTGCTAGGTCAACATATGAAGCTGAGTTTAAGAAAAATGTAGAATTGTTCAGGGAGTATAATGAGACAGCATGTGAGTGGTTGTTGTCAAAGCCAAGTTCCCAGTGGTGTCGTGCATTTTTTGAAACTGCTTGCAATTCAGATGTGTTGTTGAACAATCATTGTGAGTCGTGGAACAGGGCAATTTTAGGGGCTAGGGTGAAGCCAATTATTAGTATGTTTGAGACCATTAGGTGTCAACTGATGGTTAGATTTACAAAGAAAAGAGAATTTGCTATGAGGAACTACAAGAGTCGGTTCTGTCCTAAAATTTTGAAGAAGATAAATGTTGCAAAGGAGGGTAGCTTTGGTTGTAGAGCACTACCATGTGGTGCTAACAGATTCAACTGTTCGTTCTCTTGAAGGCCAATTAGTGGTGGACTTGAACAAACAAACTTGCACATGTAGGAAATGGGAATTGACAGGAATACATTGTGCACATGCTGTTTGTTGCATTTTTTCGAAAAAAGAACAGGTTGAAAAATATGTTGATAAGTGCTATGAAGTGGCGACCTACATCACCACTTACAACTACACATTAGCACCCATGGTTGGGCCTGAGTCATGGCGAGACAGCAATCTAGATCCTGTAATTCCTCCCCATGTTAGTACTGATGGAAAAACAACAAGGGGTAGACGAAGGATGAATAGGCGGAAGGGTCCTGAGGAGGTTTTGGAAAACCAAGAGAAACAACAAAAAAAACACAAGGGGAACAACCTAAGGATGAGCAAAAAGAAAGGGAAAATTCATTGTAGTGTGTGTGGTGGAGAGGGTCACAACAAAAAAGCACACAGGGATGGAAATGAGCCAGCCATTTTAGGTGCTGCTGGAATATCTGGAATGACTGGAGGGGCTGCTGGAATGTCTGGAATGACTGGAGGGACTGCTGGAGGGACTTCTGGAGTGACGGGAGGGGTTGCTTGAATTTCTGGAATGACTGGACGGGCTGCTGGAATGATTGGACGGGCTGTTGGAATGTTTGGAACGACTGGAGGGACTTCTGGAGTGACTGCTGGAATTTCTGGAATGACTGGAGGGGCTGCTGGAATGATTGGACAGGCTGCTGGAATGTCTGGAACGATTGGATGGTCTACAAGAATGACTCAACAGGCTGCGGGAATGTCTGGAACGACTGGAGGGTCTGCTGGAATGACTGGAGGGACTACTGAGGTATGGTATTCTGGTGAACCAATCAACCGAGTTGAAGGAAGACATTCAAACCTAGCTGGAATGGCATCATGATTGATTACTCCATTTCAAACATCTGGATCAACAGTAAGTTCACTTTCAAACATTCTTCCTGTACTTATTTTGACTTGACTAAAATGAACATTGTGGTCTATTGTCTCTCTTTACTTACAATATCACTCTTGGTTTGTAAGGTAACTTTGAGTAATCTCCCCTTGAATCAGCCCAATAATAGTGTGACTCAAATGCATGCTCAACGAGCAGGGAACGTGGCATTTTCTAATTTGGGTTTTTGGGTAAGCGACATCCTGTTGTTCTTACCTGATTTTGTTTTCTACAAACGTGCTCATTTGGAAGTCTAAATTACCATTTCAGGTTCATGAAGGGGAACGGGTATGGGCTAGGTCTGGAAGTGTTAGACCAACTTTTGTGCCAAGAAGAGGAAACTCCAACAGAAGAGGAAGGGAAAACCATGAGCAGTAAGGTTAAATGGAGATTGTGAAGGATCATTGTGTAGACAGTAGACTAGTTGTGCAATTAGCAGTTGTTTTGAGCTCAATGTTTTGTGGCAATCTTGTAGACAATCATTAGACTACAAAACTTTTAGCCAATTACTTGTTTTGAGCCGAGACATGTTATGTTGCTGTTCTGGATTGCACTACTTTGTTAAGAATTAAAGACATATTCAAGCAATGCAGGTTGTGGTATTTTTTAACAGAACTTTGGTTCTGGGTATAACATCCATTGTTATTGTTCCATGACTACACAAAAGCAGGGGATACGAAAACATTGTGTCTCACTTCCATTGATTATCTGAAAGCAGGGAATATCATAACATTGATTCTCAATCCCATTGATTACATGAGAGTAGGGGATAGTTTAAAATTACATACTTCTAAATATGTAAGAAATCACTGAAAACACCACCATTAACATTAAAAACTTCATGTTTTGGCTCAACCAAGAGTCATGTTCATTCCTTCTCTCTAACTCACGAACCCTCCTGAGTAGTCCACGGATGGCTTGCTTCACAGGTTCGTCTAGAACTGGATCCACCCATCGGAAAAAGTTGCACACATTCAGACCCTATACATTACGAACAAACAAACTCTAGTTTAAATAGATTGATTATGCCAATAAAAACCTACAAAACTCATTGAATCATTACGAACAAACAAACAAACCCCATAATTGCTGCAGCCGTATAATCGACGCCCTGGATTGGTATCTGTCCAAGAAGTACGAAGCAAGGCTGGTGCTCCGCATCGACAAGCAGGACCTGCAACACCATTAGAGCCTGCCATATTGGAAGAAGAAGAAGAAGAAGAACAACAAGCAACAGAAGAAGGAAGAGGAAGATAACCCAAGTTGTTGCTTCTATTTTAGGTGACTTTCCTTCGCCATGCTTAGTGAGATGAGGAGGAAGGAGAAGCTTTGGAGGCTTCTGGTGGGGTGGGGATTGGGTTATAAATGGGGAGGAAAGAGAAGCTTTGGAGGCTTCTGGTGGGGTGAGTATTGGGTTATAAATGGGAGGGAGGTAATAAAAGAGGTGAGGTGATATTTAATTGGGGAATCAGAGAAACAAGTTTTGGCGGGTTTGTTTGCCGCCAAAAATGAGTCAGCAACCAGGTGGAGCGCTGACATGGCAGTTCTGTTTTCTTTCTCCACCCCGTTAGTGGGTTTAACGGAAAATTAAAACGGGGCACCAATTCTTTGATTTGGGTGGTAGCCGAGGCCCTAATCGTAGTTGAGTGGTATCCTTGCCCCAATTATAGAAGTTTAATGGCACAAGAAGTATTTTACCCGTTTAACAACATAACAATCCAAAATCACATATTCGATAACATCGAACTGCAAATTCATCAACAAACAGAGCTTTCCCACAATCATTTGGATGGCGACGTATGTTGCTCTGGCCGCAGAGGAGATGACGATAGGACGGAGGCTAGTCTGCAAAGGAGATCAGCAAGACGGAACTCTCGGTTAGCGGCGAGGATTCACAAGCGGGGAGAAGATGTAGCGGCCGAGAGAAGACCAACGACCGAGAGAAGATGCAGGAACCGAGACTCTCGGTTAGCAGCGGGGATTCTGATTGAGCGCAACGCCTAAGGAGAAGAAGCAGCAGAGTGGGTGTGTTTCGATTATCCTCGATCTAGATACGGGAGAGGAGGGAGTGAAGAGCAATCGCTGAGAGAAGGGAGTGAAGGGGCTGGTCGTAGATGGGGTCAATTCCTTGGTCGGAAGAAGATGCAGCAGCCGAGAAGCAACAAGACGGTGGAGATGGCAGCCGACTGAGTGCAGCGGCCAGGAGGAGAAGAAGCAACGGAGTGGGTGTGTTCCTTTTGTCCTCAAAATGGATGTAGGAGAGGAGGAAGTGAAGGTGGCCGTGGGATAGAAGAGAGGTCGAGTAGGGTTTTGGAGGGAGGTTTCGGAGTTTGAGAGAGCTGTGGCCGGAAAAAAATTAAGAGGGATTGATTCATAGGCTGGTTGGGTTTAAGGATTAAGTTGAGAAAGATGACTTGGCGAGTCAGGTTTGGTGATGTGGCGGGAGGTGCCAGGTCACGAAGAGGGGAGAGAGGGATAGAGGGGTCGATTCATAGGCTGGTTGGGTTTAAGGATTGAGTTGAGAAACATGACATGGCGGGTCAGGTTTGGTGATGTGGCGGGTTAAAAAAGGGCGAGTCAGCACTTCTGTTAGTCATTTAAGCAATTGACTGACGGTGTTAACGGAGACTAACGGAGAGTGACTAAACGTGAACCGTTTTACTAATTTGAGTGACTAACATTGATATTAATTTTTTCCATTGACTAAACACGACACATTTTAATAAACTCAGTGACCAAAGATGACAAAGTTTATTCTCCCGGGATCAAGTAAAACCAGGGTTTTTTTAGTAGTTGGCTACTTAATCGGTTAATTCGCCGAGAACAGCAATTCGATTAAACCCCGACCCGAACGGGCTTTTGAGCTCTTGGGCTGAAAATCTCCCGTCCCATTTCTGTCACTTTCCCACCTCCGCCTCCATCGCTGAAACCTTTCTTCTTCAACTTCAGACCAGCTGCTTCACAGTTAGATCTTAAACCCAACCTTAAACCCTTTCCGCCTTAATCCTCGGGAAACCCCTTGATTTTGTCTGTCTACTTCGTAGCTGCGAAACAGTTAAAGCAGGAATGGCTTTCTGCAGAAGCGCCAAGCGTCCGCTTCAGATGATGATGCAGAAGGGAAGCTGTTCTTCTGCTATGGAATCCAGCTTCCGAACGGTTCTCCGGCGGTTCAGCGTTCAGTCTCCGGCATCGGGGGAGCAGATGAGTCTTATCAAGCAACTGAGAGAGCGGACCAGTGCTCCGATCAAGGACGTCAAGGCCTCCCTTGTTGAGTGTAACTGGGACATTGGTAAGAAAAAATATAAAAAACTTGTTTGCTTCTATTTGGTTCTGAAGCTATTCTTGCTGATTTGGCTGAACTGAATTGGGGCTGTGATTTATGGATCAATTGATGGTAGAGGCGGCGCAGAAGGATTTGAGGAAAAGAGGGATAGTTCTGGCGTCGAAGAAGTCTGGTCGAGCTGCGACTGAAGGCTTGCTCGCTTTGGCTCAGAGTGAAGGGAAGGCTGCAATCATCGAGCTTAATTGTGAGACTGACTTTGTTTCCAGAAACGAGATATTTCAGCACTTGGTAAAGCAAGCTTCCTGTGAATTTTCTTTGTTACTCTATGATGAGAGTTCTTGTTCATCACTGGAGGTTTAACTGTTCTCGTTGCAGGCTTTATCTCTAGCAAAGCAAGCTCTCCTGGTAGAGAATGGTTCTCAGCAGTCTTCAGGGGTACTGTCTGTCGGACCTGAATCGTTGGAGGTGAGAGCGTTGACAGACAGGAGCTCATTGTTAACTTTATACTGGGACTTCCTGCATTGAGTAAGCCGTTGATAGTTGTCATTTGATGTTGTCCTGTCACCAGGAACTGAAGTTGAATCTTGAACATCCTAAGATAAGTGGAGAAACTACAGTTCATAACGCAATTACTGAGGTAGCTGCAATGATGGGTGAGAATGTGAAACTTAGAAGAGGCTTTGTGATGTCTACTTCTGGTGTTCTTTCCACCTACCTCCATACAAGTCCTCAACCAGGTTCGTGTTGAAGTGATTTATAATTCTCTCTAGATATAGAAAGTTTGCATCATTTATTTTACCAGATTTTGCTCTTTTGAATTATGACTTGGTAATTTGTGTTTATAATCCCAACTTCTTGATTGAATTTAGGTTTGGGTCGTATTGCTGGACTATTGTCTCTTGAAACTGAGGATGGAAGTTCTCACTTGGATGATCTTCAGCGTGTTGGGTCGGAGCTGGCAATGCACGTGGTTGCTGCAAAGCCGCTGTTCTTAACCAAGGAGCTAGTTTCTTCTGAGGCATTGGAGAGTGAGCGTGAGATTCTAAAATCTCAGGTATGCAATCATTTCTTGTAGGCTATGAGTGTGTTTCTGTGGTTTTTTTCCTCCACTTACGATTTCAAAATCTGATGTTCAATCAGGCAGAAAGTACAGGGAAATCACAGATGGCCATAGAGAAAATGGTTGAAGGCCGCATGCGTAAATATTATGAGGAAGTTGTCCTTACGGAGCAGAAGTTTATTGTCAATGATTCTCTAACCGTTAAGGTATTAGTCAATCCCTCTCTGCTCACGCATGCTTGTGCTTGGACTCGCAGCATTCACTAGGCTTGGTAACATTGCTAATGTCTTCCTCGAATCTACGCAGACTCTGTTGAGCAATTTGTCCAAGGAAGTGGGTTCACCAGTGAAGATAGAGAACTTTTTCAGGATGGAAGTTGGAGAAGGAATTCAAAGGTAGCGGATAATTCATGTCTCGTGATTCTGTTGTTGAGAAATGTAAGGGTTCCTTGAGTTGCTGGTTTGGCATGTAAAATAGCCAAGAGCACATTTGTCATTCAACAATGCTTGTCTTTCTCTGTAATGTATACTTATCATCATTGGAACACCAATCAATGTCTGGATCAACACTTAGTAGGTCCGACACTCATATGATTTTGAAAGCCACTTGTTATTACTATCTATGCCTAGGAAGAATGTTTTCTCTAAGATCATATCTATGCCTAGGAAGAATGTTTTCTCTAAGATCATGATGTACATTAGTAGCTTTCATAACTAGTCTTCAACTTTCCCTATTGGATGGCGAATATGAACTGAACTATGAACTGTTTATGCTTCATTCGCAGGCTCGATTCATCTGCAGATGAACCAGTGGCTCATGCTGCGTGATTAGAGTGCCCCCATCACTTTAGTTTGTTAGGGGAAGAGCTCTACAGTTGAAGACCTATTTCTCTTTGTTAGCTAATGAGTTATAATAGTCTCCTTTCTTTACAGTTAGACAAACTTGGAGAATGGAAGCAATTTTGTACAATTTTCGATACATTTGTCAGCAAGGATTGACAAAAGAACTCTCTTTGATTCTCAGAGATGACTTTTGCCGAACCTGGGATCATTCAATAAATAGTTCTCTCTCTGACTCTCATATACTTGACTTTGTGCCGAGTTGGTCAAGGTGACCCCACCTTTTCCTTCTATCAATTGCCATTGTAGAAGCTGCAGGTTTTTAGTTAGCCTTGGGAGTGGCAGAGCCGTCTACGGTTGCCATCCTACTATTCGCAGAGGAGGTGATGAAAGATGCCTCACATCGTAAAGCAGCACAGTTAGGCAGGCACGAAGACACTGGCAATTAACAGGTTCTATCTTAATCCTTAACAACCACCAAGTCTTACAGAAAATTATAGTAGCAGTTCATTCTTTTCACAACATGGTTACAAAGGGAATAGGGAATCAAATGCTTAAGGCCAAAAGGGGTTTCATTCTAGTGGAACTTGAGGCTAGTCAATATATTGTTGTTGACAGGATCAGCCAAGTGGTCAAGCAGATTCTGGTACGGTCCAACACCAGTCACAAGACCCTGTATAAAGTAACCCAAGACGGCCAACATGGCCAACCTGCCATTCTTCACCTCCTTCAGCTTCAACTCCTTCATCGACTTCTCATCTTTCCCGAACCCTAGAGGGTTGAAGATAGGTCCTCCAGGGTAAGCAGGGTCGCCCGAGCCACCCAAAAACTTCTCGAATCCCAAGAAGTACTGCTTCCCCATCGATCCAGGATTATACCAGTCCTGGAGTCTCCTGTGCTCGGCAAACCCCATCAGGGCCATCTCCAGAACAAAGAGAGTGTATGGGTCTGCCCAGTAGCTGTATGTTCCGGCTGGTGGGATGACCCCAGTTTGGAACCATGGGAGGGCCGTCTCGGCTGGGATCAGGCCGGCTTTGCCCAAAATTTCGGGGGCAATGGCACCTGCAGCTCCCAACATGGCGAATCGTCCGTTGATGATCTCACCATAGGCTAGCCATTTCGGCTCGATGAAGCCTCCAGTTCCCTCAGGGTCCGAGAGACCGAGTGGGTCAAATCCGAAGTCACCTGGGAGGCTGCAGGGCATGACACAGAACATTTCCCAGGTTAGTGAATATTGGTCACCATCTCAGTTTATAGTATGATTAAATAAATTGGTACAAGGATGATCTTACCTTCCATCAAGGTAAGAGAGACTCTGTTTCGATGCAAACCATAGTTGTCTGTCAGCTCCTTGCTGATAACCAAACATAAGAATCTCGTTAGGAAGAACACCCCGCTACCCACAAACCGAAGCTGATTAGCCAGTTCCTAGCTCTATGTTTGTCTGGACTTGTCAAAAATTTATGTATAGTGAATATTGATTGTGAGTAAAACATGTTTTAGAATTATGTTTCTTTGTACTTAGTTTGGTTGATGTTGTCTAGTTTAATCTAGTTTTAAACTTGTAATTTCAGGGGAAAGACTGACTGACCTTGACAGGGGGAGTAGAAGCCGCCCTTACAACAAAGGATCCTTTCCTTGAGGACCCAAATGAAGGCTGGCTAGACCTTGATCCCAGGATTTGCCTGGCACTCTCCACCGAAGAAGTGAGGGAGGATGACACCAGAGCCTGTGCCGCCATTGCTGCCCTTTCAGAGGTGTACTAGTATAGCAGGAAGTTGTGTGTTCCCCCTGAGAAAGAAGAAAGGAGAGAATTTGAGGACGAGGGGGAATAACTAAGCTTGGCTGGACAAAGCTGAAACATCCACTACTTAGTGGCATGAAGTCTTGGCTGGAATCAAGAGATGGCCCACCTCCTCTTTCAAGATTAGGTTAGGATCTGGGTATCCAACAAGAGTTGAACAGGTGGATTGGTTGCCAGGATAATTGGATATTGTCAGCATAGTCTGATTCGCAACAGAAGCTCCTTTGACACATGGCTTTCTCTCAGCCATTCTAATTCACTGTGTTGCCACCCTCAGCTCGAAGAAAAATCTCCTCCAGATTGCCAATATCTATACCTGGCCGTTGATAGGCTTTGGGGCCTTGTGGGAAAATACAGAACTGGGTAATAGCTGGTTTTAAGACCTTGCCCGTTTTAAAGTTGTATTTTCATTTTTTGTAGCAATTAGGCAAAATCATAGTCTACTGGTCGATCATCGTTTGATTTCAATAATGCATGAGAGATCAAGTTGGTAAAGATTTTGATATGATTTGCTCAACCTTTTTCTAATAGTAAATCATGTTTTATCGTCACCTTACCATATAGTTTATAGTCGTTATAAGTTATTACCAGTGTCAAAATAATCTCTTTATCACTTCAACATTGGATTACGCCAAAACTCCACGTTCAAGGAATTAGGCTCAGTGGCAACAAGGGTTGCAAATGAGTCTGAGTTGAGCTGAGTTTTGACTAGTTAATATACGAGTCAGTTCGAGCTTTGATTTGTTGACTAAATCATTGGCTTGTGTTTGACTCGCGTTCGGCTCATTAATGAACTCATGAGCTCTACTCGAACTCGACCCATCAATTAGCTCGTGAGATCGGCTCGAGCTAAGGTATCACATAATTTAGTTCATAATCTTTAATTATTCATATTTTGTTATTTAATAGTAAGTAGTACAATATAGGATACATAATTTCTCTTTTGAATTAAAAACGAGACATTTGATGACGTGCTCAAATTCTTAAATACCATGTGTGATTAGATATATAATTTAACAAATTTATGAATTATCAATAACCCAAATATAAACTATTAATCAATTTGTACATAAGCTACTAGTTGAGATTGCTCATTGACATATCATCGAGTCCAACTCATAGCTCAAAACGAGCTAGCTCATGAGTTGAACTCAATAAGCCACTGTATCGAGCTAGCTCACGAGCCGTGCGAGTTGAAAAGGTTGAGTTCAAATTCGAATTGTTCACTCAAGCGAGTTTTTCCCGAGTCAAACATCGAGCGGCTCATGAGCAGTTTTTCCTGAGTCAAACACGGAGAATTTTGGGAGAATGCAGGGTGGAACCAACGAAATTGGGCCTGGGCAATGCTGGACAATCCCTCACAGTATACTTTCTCTTCTTCTGTTGGCAAGTGAGCCAGCCCAACAACAAAGCCCATAACTACAAAAGGTAAGAGGAAAAATTAGGGGTGTTCAAACGGTTTGGTTACCATGGTAACCGTTTTAACCAGTACTATTTGGATAATTTGGTTTGGTTAATTTGGATAATTGGTTTGGTTTGGTTAAAGTTTTTAGCTTGTTTGGTTTAGGTGGTTTGGTTTGGTTTCAGACACTCCTAACCAGTCAAACCAAATTAACCAATTAAGTAATTAGTCATATATCTAACATATATTATATACACATATTTAATACTTTGCATAACCACTCAAGAGTTAACGTTCATCCCTTTTAGACTCATAAAATATAAAGCTCAATATTGCTCATATAGTGTATATTTGTATATGTAAAATGTAGACCACAACATATGGACGCCTAATTTAAATAAATTTCATACATTATGATGGATGAAAACTTGAAAGGAAGGTCATTTCCAGCCTATGATAATTGCTAAGAGACTAAGTCAATTTACGCAAACACAACAATTCATTAACCCATACCATTGTCATAAACTTTTGTTAGGTGAATACTTCTATACTAATCGTAAGATAATTGTCTTAGTTGCATGTATTTTTGTTAAGGGTCAACTATAACTACATGTTGATTGTTATGTTTTATTCATTATATAAATTGCGAATTGTTGCATTAACTGGAAAATTTTCATCGTCAATGATAATGTGATTTTATATTGGTTAATCTGGTTAACCAATTAACCAAACCGATTAAACTTTAGTTTGGTTAATTTGGTTGTTGTATTAGTTTGGACTTTGGACGGTTTGGTTATGATATTGTATTCCATGGTTAATAGAATTTAGCCTTATTTGGTTTGGTTATAACCATGGTAACCATTTGAACACCCTAGGAAAAATGGAAAGTATAGGTCGATCTACCGCCATGGCGGTGAGGTGACTGTGAGCTCCGCGCGCGCTCATTTGGCCAGAAACGTGGAACCAAATTTACCCAAGAAAAGAAACGTGGAAGCAAAAAGCAGAACAAGATGCTGCGACGAATCAGCCCCATCTTGAATAATGAGCGGAGTCTTCTCAAGCTGGCTGCTCGCTTCGCATCCACGAGATCCAACCATGGTGATGCGCGCTGCGGGGTAGTGATGAGCTTCGGCGACGGCAGCCATGGTGCTCTGGGTTTACCACCTTCGCTTACAGGCGTCGGAGCCGATGTTTACGAGCCGACGGTGGTCCCGGGGCTTCCATCCAATGTCACAGCCGTTAGCGCTGGCCACTACCACTCGCTAGCGGTCACTTCACGTGGAGAGCTCTGGGCATGGGGCCGGAACGAAGAAGGCCAGCTTGGCCGTGGCATTCTTGCGCCCAGGTTTGGACGAAATTTAATCTTTCCCTGGCTGTTTTCCGGTTTTAGTTTAGGAACCCAGTGGTTGAATTGTAATGGGATTCGACGAACTGGCTGTGATTTGGGGAAGAGGAGAAATGTTGTGCGAGTGATCATCAGGTGTTCGATTTTATTCCTCTGAGAGTTGGGTGAGGGTTAGAGGCTAAAAAGCTTTCGTTTCATAGTCAAATTTGGTAGACGAGCTATTGATTTTGAGACTTGGAATGTGAACTAGAGACACTTGGCACGAACCTAAGAGAGTGCAGAGCTTGGATCAAGTCCACGTTGCAGCTGCATTTGCGTCAGGAGTGATCTCTGCCGCCATCGGAGTTGACGGCTCTTTGTGGGTATGGGGAAAGTCCAAGAGAGGGCAGCTTGGTTTGGGTCCTGGAATCACAGAGTCAGTAGTCCCCTCTAGGGTTCCAAGCTTTGCTGGAGAAAAGATTGTTAAGGTAGAAGTTGGAAGGTAGATATCCTCTTGAATATGCTCATATCCTATACTGATGAAGCTCCATAATTTGCATGAAACTTTTCCTACTTCTGCTACTCGGAATGGTGTTTCCTTAGGTCTCGTTCGGATGGGGGCATGCTCTCGCACTAACCGAGGATGGCAAGCTATACGCCTGGGGCTATTCGGCAGACGGAAGGATAGGAACGATTGGTGGACTTTTGGAGGCTTCCGTGCTGGATTCAGGCGGAGATAGTGTTAAAGGCGACCGATTTGAAGCTGCTGAAAGGCGAGTCTTGGAAGGAATGGAAAAGGAAAAGGAAATGCCAATAGTCTGGGAGCCTTGTTTAGTCGAAGAACTGAATGGAACCCAAGTTGCAGAAGTTGCTTGTGGGCTTGATCATTCCTTGGTTATTAGCAGTAAGTAACTAGTTCGATTTATTGCCTCTAAACCTTTTGGAGCCTCTGAATTATTGCCTCTTCGATCATGAAATATCTTCTGAATAGTTCTTTCCAACTCTCAAACTTTTCAGGCGATGGCAGGCTGTTAACATCTGGAAGCAACACATATGGTCAGTTGGGTCGATCAAATCCAGACATGGGATTCTTTCCAGCCGACATGGAACTTCTCCACGCCTCATTCATAGCAGCAGGCCTTGGCCATTCTCTAGCAATCTGCCATGAAACTTCATCTTCCAACAGCAGCATCTTCTCATGGGGTTGGAACAGAAGCTCGCAGCTTGGAAGAATGGGAACTGAGCACAAACCACTACCGGTTGAGGCACTGTCGGAGGAGATGCAACCTTTGTCGGTGTCTGCGGGGCGAGTTCATTCCATGGCTTTGGCATCTGGAGGCGAGCTGTGGGTTTGGGGAAGTGGCAAGAATGGCAGGCTTGGGTTGGGGAGCCCTTACGATGAACAAGAACCAGCTGTTGTTGATAGCTTGGAAGGTTGTGAAGTTTTGCAGGCTGTTGCTGGATTTGATCATAATCTGGTTTTGGTGGCTCAATGAAATGAGAAGTTAGGAGGTTCCTTTCGATCAGATTGATAGGTTGAGAATGAATTTCAAAGCTCTTCGTATCTTAATGATAATTTTTCCTTTGTTTGGGGATGGACAAGGTTAGTAAGTATTGCTGAGAATCAAAACATACAGCTTTATGCTTCTCATGGTACTGCGCAAACAATGATATCCCTTCAAAGTACTTGAAACTTTCAATTCGTTCCCTTCAAGTGATTAGTTGTCATAACAAGTATCTGGGAGTACCCACAGGGTGGGGAAGATCTAAAGCTGAGACTTTCCAATTTCTTATTCAGCGAATGGAGAGTAAGGGTGAAGCATGGAAAAGCCTGTTACTCTCTCCAGGGGGAAAGAGACACTTCTCAAAGCGGTGATCCAAGCGATCCCAGCATTTATAATGTGCCTATTTTTGCTTCCCAATGGCACTACAAGCAAGATGGACTCAATGCTAAAGAGGTTCTTCTGGGGAGGATCTATCACAAAGAAGACAATCCACTGGAGAAGCGGGAAAATCCTGTATGCCCCTAAACACGAAGGGGGCATCGGTTTTCGCCCTTTTCACGAGTACAATTTGGCTCTGTTGGCCAAACAGGCCTGGAGGATCCTGACCAGCCCTGACGCCCTTTGGGTTAGGCTGCTTAAAGGATTGTATTTTCCGAGAACCGAGTTCCTGGAGGCAAGAAGAGGAGGGAGAGCATCATGGATCTGGTCAAGCCTCTGGGAAGCGAGAAATAGGATGGAACAAGGACTCATCAGAGTGATTGGGAATGGAAAAACTACGAGGATCTTCCAAGACCCATGGCTGTTCGCGAGAGCTGGGAGTCTTTTCCCGGATCAGACATCGTTTCCGGCAACCGTTGACAACTGGATTGATGAGGTCGATAGAGTTTGGAAGAGCGAGCTTATTGCTGATTTCCTCCCTCCACAGCAACTTTAACAGGTCTTGAGCACGCCAATCGGACCTGCTTCCATGAATGACTACTGGGCATGGAGATTCTCTGATCAAGGTGTTTTCTCAGTTAAATCAGCCTTCCACTCTTTCCACAATCAAAAGCGAAGAGCTCAAAGGGACTTCCAGGAGATTCCAGCAAGCACTAAGGAGAGGTGGAAATGGCTTTGGAGCATTTCTTTGCCTCCGAAGCTGAAATTCTTCATATGGAAGTGTAGCAGAGGCGCTATGGCCACGAAAGAAAACCTTCACGCGCGACGTTGCTCGCCATCCAATGTTTGCCCTATTTGCAGGGGAAATGTTGAAACCATTCAGCACTGCCTTTTCTACTGCCCTCTCGCAGCAGAAGGTTGGAAAGAGGCATGGCCATCCCTTTGTCTCCCACAGCAGCTCACAAACATGCTGGACTGGTTGCATTCTCTTAGCCAAAGGTACTCATCTACCTCACTTCAAAAAATCATTTACCTTATGTGGCACACGTGGAAGGCGAGAAATGAAAGCATCTTCTGAGACAAGCGGATTTGGCCGCCGGATACACTCGACCAAGCAGTTTGCAGCTTTCAACAATGGAACTCTTACCCATCATTGAGGAAGCAAACCCACCTTCCCCCTCAGCCCAATCCACACCCTGAACAAGCTTCACCACCGCCAGGTACTCATGATTTTGAGATACACTGTGATGGATCGTTTCGACACGATTCCCAGGAGGCGGCGTATGGCGTTGTCATTTCCAACAGCCATGGTCAAGTATGTGACGGGAAAGCTGAGTCCTTACACTGCTTTTCACCATTTGAAGTGGAAGCCAAGACCCTCCTCGAGGGAACACGTTCTGCGATCCAGCTCGGCGCTCCATGTCTCATCAGATCGAACTGTCTTCCCCTCGTTAGGGCAGTCCATGGATCCCCTGAACCGTGGCCGTGGCGTGCTGCGGCATGGATCGGAACCATCAGACATCTATGCTCTTCTTTCCCTCGAATTAGGATCGATTTTGTCAATAGAAAGCTCAACTCAAGGGCGAACTGGGTGGCCAGGTCTTGTGCCAGGAACCAGCTCCCCCATGACTGGATCCAAATCCTTGAGATTGTTTCTGACTATTGTAACCTTGGTTCCTTCCACATCAAGTAATGAAATGCGTGTCTTACTGTAAAAAAAAAAGTGATTAGTTGTAATTTCCTGTTTTTTGTAAAAATACGATAATAACGAACAGATGGAGATTGGGTATTCGTAAATCTGTTCATATGTATTGTAAGAATGGTTTGAAAGATTGATTGATATTCAAAAGTGATTGTATAATTATGGGTAAACACCAGCAGGAGATTTAGTAGAGCATTGGACCGCATTTTATTAGAAAATTAGATACTATAGTTTTCTTTACAAAGCAATTGTACAGGATGACCTTTTAATTTATAGTGAATTCATCAATAATGTAGTCATCATCCATATCAATAGCATACTCTCTTCAAATAATAAGTAATCAATGATAAATTCATCGCTTATTTTGTTAATCAAAACTTTCAATTTTCCTATGCGGTTTGTATCTTGAATTTCATCAAATGCAAATCCGAATAATTTTTAGCAGGTACGGGTAAAACCGAACCCGAATATTGTGGGTAATAGGTGGACATGATTTTCTCACTATCCGACCCGAATCCACCCGATTATACACATGCATATGTATTTTGTCTAAAACTGATCATTATTTTTTCTCATTATATTTAGCATATAAATATAATATTTTCATGAAATTGTGTTATTTTTAATTAATTTTCTTCATTCTAGTGATTTCTTATCGTACATTTCCTCTTATGTAATGTGAGTATATGTGTGAATGTTAACATGTTGGTTGGAGTTTAAAGAAAAATTATTATCCATGGATAACCGTGGAACGGATACACAAAACCCGGACGAGTATGAACATGATTTTGATTTTCTAACCAATTCTTATGTGTATATGAGTATGGGTAAAACCCGAACTATTTTGGGTTGGATAACGGACATGCAATATCCGTAACCGACCCCCTGTTGTCATCTCTACTTTTGCAGTTGCATATTGAGTGTTATCTAGGCAGTGGCGGAGGGAGGGTGTAGCAAGGTGGGTCCCGGGACCCATCTTGGTTCAGAAGGAAAATGGTAAATTAGGTACAATCGTTGATACCGAAAATTGGTGTGTGTTTTACTGAGAATAGTTGATCGAATGGTTTTGATACTTGAATTTTGACGACCTCATTTCTTAAGCACACTATAATTAGATTTGTGCAAACTTCAATTTCGTTTAATCTGACTTTCTTATGATGGAGCATGCTAATAAATGATATAAAATATGCTAAACGATTCTTAACAAAGAACATTTGAAAGCTAATGACTAACTAAACCATAAATTATTGACAAAGAACACCTTTTAGAAACAATGACTAACTAAATCATTAATAATTTTTTGGTACATATATTGATATTCTTGATTTTTTGACGGCTAATGTATTTCAGTTTATCATAATTTTCCAATATATGATTATATCATGAATGATTATCAAAGTTAACAAAAACTATTTTATCATGTGTATTTTTTCTAAATGGACCCACTTTAGACGAAATCTTGGCTTCACCACTGTATCTAGGATTTATAATAGACCAAATATCATTGATGTGATTGTTATTTATTTGTTGTAAAAAAAAAGATTGTTATTTATGAATAATATATATGATTAATCATCCCATAATTTATCATAACAATGTACCAAGTTGGCCTCAATATTTGGGGCTAAATCGAACACATGAAAATCTTTAGGGATCTCAAAATACAATTAACGTACACAAGAAAAAAAATGATTGGTCCAAGCGAGCGCGAGCGTTAGAAAAGGGGGCCGCGGAAAGCTGACGAAGAAGCGAAGCGAAGCCGTCTGGATCCGGCCATTCTCTCTTTCTTCCGGCGGTGGCGGCGGCAGACTCTCCGACTAGAGACGACCTGAAGGAAGAAAGGGAGTTGAAACCAAGGCGCAGAGAGATAGATATAGAGAGGATGCTGGAAAACCCTACGCCTGCAGCAACTCCCGCCGATTCCTCCGCCACCATCGTCAAGAAATATGCTCCTCCCAATCAAAGGTTTGTCATTCTTGCCTTCTCCTCCTGCTACAATTCCCGAGTTAAGATTTACCCCTCAATCGAAATTGGTGACCCTTTTGCTTTGTTTGCTGCTGTGTTGAATTTTTGCAGGAACCGGCCTCTCAATAGACGCAAATCAGGAGGTCAGCTATTACTATTCACATTTTCATCTTGAAATGATGGCATTCTATCATGCGGGCCTTTTCTTCCTTTTCCCTTCTTTGGATTTCGTTAAAGTTAATCTGGTTCGGTGGTTTTGCTTTACATTTCTAGAATGACAGCGGGAATTCAGAAAACAAGTAGATATGATACTGGTTTGGTAGATTGTCAAGCATGGTGTCGGGTTACTAGGAAAGTTGCAACCTTTATAATTATATGTCAGCTTTGCGAACTCGGAGCATACAATGTATGCACCAATTCGTAGGCTAATGGTGCATGCTAAAATCGAATATGCGGGTGAATGTCACAGCATGCCTAAGTTCAGCATGGAGATTGTCTTTCTAGTACTTCTAGTCATCTGTGCTTCTGGGATTAGTTTTTCTTTTTCCTGGGAGGATAGAGGATTCCCATAGTTGTTACGTGGCTTGTTTTCAGGCCGGTCGTCTTCTTTGGCTGCTTTGTTTCTCGCCCCATCGATAGCCTTTTGTGCCTAGTGGAGGACCTTTTTGCATTTGGCTCTGCCCCATTACTGTCCAAAGCTTTGTTAGATCTAGTTTGCCAGAGGATATCAGTATATGATTGTGCTGCATAGATTCTAGTTGGAACTTGTTTGCCAGTTGGCAACAGGTCTAGATTGGGTGATATACAGTGAATTCCGTCACATCAATCCTTCTTGGGTGAACTTTGGCAAGGCTAAGATTGTATAATACTTTAATTGGAAATGTATAAGATGGTGTTGTATGATGGTATTGAATGAAGATTAAGTTTTCCCCATTGCAGATCGAATCGACCGCTTTAGCAGTCTTTATGGAAATGATGGAGACAAGATTCAAACAATTCCGCCTTCAAGAAATATCCTGGGCGTAGATCAAGGGGATGCTGGAATTCACACTCTTCAGAAGGGACACTCACGGCGTACTTTAGTAGCTTTAGAAGGGTGCTGTCACAGTGATGCTTCTCAGCTCTTAAATGATCGTATGTTCTACATGTGGCCTATTGCGTAATATATATCCTGCTCCTGCTATGTAATCATTTGAGTTTATGTTACTTTACCACTCTCTGCAAACAGATTCCTTATCCTGTGCATTGACCAAATAACCACGATAGTAGTTTTGGATTTAGAAGTAACAAAGTGGTTTTTCTTCACCCATCTCTTTGTTCTGCGGTTTATGTTGATTGTTTCTGGAAATTATTATCAACTTGTTCTGTTCCATTGGTTTCTTCAAGAGTTACTTAAAGGTGAATGTTTGATGCCTAAGAAACAGTTGGCTTCTGTCATTTCAACATAAGATAGAATTGGAGCACTAATCAAACTAATTGAGATTGGTGTACATATTGCACGTAGTTGTTCTGTCTTGCTTCTGGTTGGCTTTTGAAAAGCTTGTTTCTTTATAATTGAAAGAGGACTGTTCCAGAATATTGCGATGGATTTTGTAGGTTAATTGAGCAAGCTTTCTCTTTTAGTTTATTTTATACTGCATTTATTACAGCACCTGTTATTCTGTGATATTGATGCCATCAGAATAGTCTTACCATTATTTGTTTAACTGCAGGTTGGGCAACAGTGATGCATATCTACAATGATCCTACTATAGATTTATCTGGTCAGTAGAGAATCAATCTGAAAGTTTGCTCCAATAGCCCTTTGCCTTTTACCTAGTCTTTTCTTGCTTAAACAAACTATTCAATTTCCTTTGAAGATCTATATGAAGTGCATGTCATCTGTAGCCATCATTTGAAGATCTATATGAAGTGCATGTCATCTGTAGCCATCATATTGAAATACCCATGTAACTCAATGCTGTTGGTGTTGCATAATACTAGATTTTCTGCTTTGAACATTCCTCAGTCATTTCTTCTTTCCTGATCTCATATTTCAATATCATGGCAAATGGAGTTACTCCGTTTTTGAAGTATGTTATCAGATTTCATGAAAGTGATTATAAATGCTTGAATGTGTTTTGGTGAATGTTGTCTGAAGTAAATGAGCCGTCACTTTCTGTTCAATATGTATATGCTTTCAATTGAATTTGTAGACTACTCGGTTCTAAAATCCCAGTTCAAAGCCTGTTACTTACTCAGACTCCCATAACTAAAATAAAAATTAATATTTCATTCTGTTGCAGAAAGCAAACTTCTTCGTTATCAATCTGCTTGTATTTTACCCCTGGCTTGATGAATAACTGTGCTCTAGTTCCTTTTCCAGAAAGACCAGTTCTCTACTCAGGCGGTGTATCAGCATGGGGCCAGTTTAAACTTCCACATCAGGTAAAATATCCCACTTCCCAGCCTGCCCCCCTCTCTCTCACTCATGAAGTGTGACATGGATTTGGCTTTGCAGATGATGCCTGCAGCAAATAGTGCAGGATCTTCTGGTTCCCAGATGGACTTCTTAAGTGAACTTCGCCGAGCAATGCACAATGCTAATACTGGTTCTAACAACTAAGATTGTCTCTCCTGACTGAGTGAATCCCTTGTAACCCAACTTTGTACCTGTCTTATGTACTTTGTAGAATCCCTTGTGGGTAAACTTATATAGAAAAGATAGTGATGGATGGATGCTTCAGAACTATGGTTGGTTTGGTGTAGACATGTTACCTGCAGAACCATGTTAAAGCCTCATGTTCTGTTATTTATATGAACAGAAAGAGTTCCATCTGTATTTGTTTGTGCCCTAGCACTTTGTTTGTAGCTGGTATGGTTGGTTGCCCTAATACAGCTGGTGGAACTATTAATTTACCTTAGAACAGAAGGGTAGTGGGTAAAGATCCTTTCCTTCATTGTCAGGCTTGCATCTATAATACATGATTCTGATGGAGGAATGGAACTAGACAGTCATTTACATCTGTTATTTCCAGACTGGAATGATTCCTTGAGCTGCCAAACGCTTTTCCACCCAAAACACGACATGTCTGGGTGTGATTTTCTTCTCATCAATCAGAAATGGCTCAACAGTGCTGGCTCCTTGGCCATAAGAGGATATGGAAAACCCCCTTGCACCTGCAACAAGTAGGAATGAGCATCAAGTTGGACTTTTGTGTTGTTCAAAGGAAAGTGGAGGAATTTGTTCAAATACAACTTGAATAGGAGGAGAAAAGGGTACCTGTGAGGACTCCATCAGGGAAAAAGGCCCAGAAAGAATATGGAATGCTCTGTTTCACAAATGAACCTTCCAACTGCAAAAGAAAGTGAAACCAGAAGAAAAAAAGTTAACCAAATCCTGATCCAGTGAATTTGGGTATGCCATATGAGTTAGTAGGCTTGAAAGTTACTGTGTTGTCTTGGAAGGATAGTTGAAGTTCAGAGATGTCATCTTGCACTTCAAGTGTTGATTTCAGTGAAGGGATAACATCCTCTTCCATCATCTGAGGCAATGGCTTCACAGGAGCTTTAGCTGCTTTTGCTGCTGGTTTTGGCTTTGGCTTTGCTAGGGCTTCTTCTTCAACTGGTTTCACTTCCTCTTTCGCACCTTCAGCAACTAATCAAGGAAGACACAAGCCAAAGTGAAATGGACGAACCCTTTGAAATGAAACATTACTGCTTCTTTGGGGTCTTCAGATTTCATGGCAGTAAACTTTGACTTTTTACCTATCGAAGAAGTAGAGGTGGATGATTCTTGCACTGTTGAGCAGCAGGTGATGATGGTTGTTCTTCTCAATCTCATCAACTTGGTAACCATCTGCTGCACAAACTTGAACACATCATCCCAAAGAATTATGAAAATCAAAAGAAACTTCAGTATATATTGAAACTTACGTACCACAGGAACAATGGTGGATGACGAAGAAGTTGTTATGGTATTCTTCATGAAAGATGATGGAGATGAAGGGAAGCTCGAAATCCCCATTGCTCTACCTGCACTTGCCATGATATAGAACGGATTCGATAGTCCGGAATGAAGCTGTAGGTGATGCCTGATTTCTTGTATATTTTCTTTTTTCTTCAACAATGGCTCAAGTTTCACAATTCACATAAGCAGGGTGAAAGAGGGCTGATTGCAGAAGCTGGAAGAGCAGCAGTGAAGGAATGTAAAGAGGAAAACAGGGTCTTCTAATCCACAAACTGCTAGGCACAATATATGCCACTGGTTTCTTTTGGGTATTTCCCCCCCAAAATTGTGGGTAACTTTTGGCTGAGAAAAATAAAGAAAATTTCAAAGCCTTGGTCCAACATCTGCTGCCCATCACTGTCACTCAACCTTTGTCCCTTTGCTTTGTATTACAACCACCACTTAGTAACCAAACCTTCTACTCAATACTCCACGGCAGTAAAATAAGGATAAGCTACAACAAGATAAAGTTGGTATAACAATTAGCATCAATATAATGCTACAAAAAATTTCCCTTTGAAACTTCCCGCGTTGCCATCAATTCCCAAAATAACTTACAAAGGTGTACAGAAGAGTACAAAGTAACCCCAAAAAGAGGCAGCAAGGAATGCTACTGCTGAGAGCATACATGTCAAGCTTCAAATAGAGCCTCTTCCAAGCCCCTTGGCTGAGACCTGCAAAGATTGAATCAAAATGCTCCAGTGGCTGCCTCTTAATCCACATTTAGTGTCCGGATCACCTTCGCATAGTGAACTCTGCTACGACAAGGTCGCTTCTGGTCATTGCTATCGCTGATGTACGGTTGCACAAGTTCACATACATTGCTTCTAAGGGACGTATTGGGCTTTATCATTGTCCCCTCGACAAAGCATGGACCAGGACCACTAGCACTTGTATTCAAACATATGAGGGTTTCACTAGTTTGGTGTCATTTTCTTGGTTTCTTCAATTTCCTTTCGGATGGGGAATTCCTGGCGATCTTACTTTGCTTGAGCTTCTGAACCATCAAGTAGACCTGGACTCAAGAACACCAAGTTTCAGGAAGGTCACCCAGAAGTCATAACTCGTGAACATATGCTCATGAAGTATGTGTTTCCAAATGACATACTTGCAGGTGTCAATCCCAAACTTGCAAGTGCCTTGCCTTCCACACACTTCCAGGAAACTTCTTTCTTTTCCTCGGGAAGTATGTCAGAAATCTCACCTTCAGATTAGAGTAACAGAATTATCAGAAAAGAGAAATTTGCAGCTACCAAATGAGGAAAGTTTGGAGCTTTGAAATTTAATTAGGCAAGATATTCAGACCTCTAAGCTGTATAACTAACAATCCCACGTAAACCTTCAGGCGAATGTGACTGAAAATATGCACAAATTCTCCTACATCTTCCCTTTCAATAACCTTACACCTCCTTTTGGATCAAGTCCAAATGATTTCTTCAGAAATGGATCCATGACTTGTCCTGCTAACCTGCTTACTAGGATTGAATTGTCCTGCTTCGAGGTTATAAGAGCTCTGCAACGGCTAGAAACAGGACACAGGAAGAGCAGCTGGGATTCAATGGGGTGCAGACAGTAGCACCAAGTTCCATGAGAGACTGGTTGAAGTCTCCAAGACGATGAGCGTCCACTAATTGACCTGCTAGCTTCCTGGTTCAATACAAACTTGCATGAGAAAGTCGAATAGAAATGCATGCCTTCTCAACATACACCCACTCTAACAATCACTAGTTTCACACAGAGAAAGAACGTCTGATAGGAAAGACAAGTAGAGAAAGAAACAGAGAAACTTTTCCTAACCAAAAGGTCTTCATCGTTGCTGCATCCTTAGGATTTGCGGAAATTGCTCTCAACCTAGCAAGCACCATTAACACACTGCTATCAACTACAGGCACAGCCTGAAATTACAAAGCAAGAAAAGAAATGCAAAATACTACTTCATTGAATGCTATAGAGGCAATTGCACCAGCAGTGTAGTTTCCTATTCCAGGAACCTTCCTCGGGAAGCAACTGTGCTGGGAAATCCATCTCCTTCATCAACAATCATCTTGGCTCCCTAACAAGTAACCCCAAATTTGAGCTATAAATTTCTCTTCTTGGCATAACAACAAATCCTCAACTATGAACCAAGATACAAGCTTCTGTTTCCATGATTCCATTTGCATGGCCGGGAAGCTAATTGAGGGCATGAAAAACCAAAAGAGCCACAAGTTCTCTCATCCTTCATATAAGAGAAATAAAGTCTGCTCATTTCAAGAGCAAAACTTGAGCTGCAAGGTCCCTACGAAAACGCCTAGCCAAAAGACAGCCATTTTAGCAGAGGAAACAAAAACAAGTGAAGCAAAAGCTCACCTGCAATAGAAACCGTGCCCGCCTGTAATAACCCAGACCCGCCCACATCTCATTAACCTCCTGCACAAGCAATTCAGAAAATCGAATTTCCCTTTCAAATAACGTGAGGTTCTCAAACCAACATATCAGAAACACCACCCACTCGAAATTTCAGCCATTTTACCTCGAGAGAAGCTTGAGCTAGAAGCTCAAACGGTAGGCCAATTAGCCATCCACCGATTATAGTAATCAATAAGCGTCTGAACTCTAGTCTGCTGCAGCATCACTTCAGAAACCCAAACCCCATACGCCACTTCTCCTTCTCTCCTTCCCCACCGATTCCTTCACCAGAGCCCTTCTCTTTCCTTCTCCATGGAAGCTCCCTGTGATTAAAATCGTACCATTCTAGCATTGACTCCCTGATTTCCTGGGTTTCAACTTCGCTGAATAGGTTCTCCATATCTGCTACTGCTACGACTTTTTGTTCTTCTTCTTCTGCAACTTCAGCGGCGGGAAGGGCATTTCTCCTTTCTTCCCTTCATCCTTTTTGGGGGTCTAGACTCTAGAGGTTTGGGGTTTGTGGGATTTTCGAAAAGGTTTGTCTTTTGGTTGCTGGTAGGGCTGCAAACGAGGCGAGTCGAGTCGAGTTTTTGCTTAGCTTGAGCTCGGCTCGTTTATAAATCTTTTAGCTCGAGCTCGGCTCGAACTCGAATTTTCATCATCTAGCTCGAGCTCGAGCTTGACTCGATTAAAAATAATCCAGCTCGAGCTCGGCTCGATAAAGCTCGGTAAATGCTCATTAACACAGCTTGTCAAGCTGAGTACAAGCTCGGCTCAAGATAAGCTCGATTTGAAACCATTCTTGCTGAAAAATGTGTACAAATAAGAACATTAGAAATTAAAAATGATAAAAACAACACTAAAAATTAAAAATAACATTTAATTTCCATACACATCCTTATTAACAAGATAATTTTCATGTTCAAAAAAGTAATTAATCCTTTCACAAGCTTTAAACAAGCCAGCTCGCGAGCTTAGCTCAACAAGTCACCGAGTCAAGCTAGCTCACGAGCTTATCAAGTCGAGCATGGCCTAGCTCAAGCTTGGCTCGTTTACTAACGAGCCAGCTCGCGAGCAGGCTTGTTAAACAACGAGTCGAGTGTCGAACGAGCTTTTTCCGACTCGAACGCCGAGTTGCTCGCGAGCGGCTTGGCTCATTTGCAGCCCTAGTTGCTGGCAATGGCGCCATGAACGTCTGCGAAGTGGAAATTTCGAATCCGCTGAATTGGCAGTCAGGCGAGTCGCATAGTCGCATTTCTCTGGTCTCCCTCCAGCTTTGGAATGTGTAGGAATGAGCTGGATGCGGCAATTCAATTGGACTGAAAGTACTTTTTTGGGCCCTTATAGCGGGCTTGATTATCGAAGAAGTATTTTGGGCTCTTATAAAAGTTACATTGTCCATTGTAAAATGGGCTTCGTTTCCGGCTCAAAAAGCCACATTCTGCCCGCGCGCACGTGTAAAATATCTCGATGACATACAACACGTGGCAACAATCTACTGGCCTGTCAGCTAGCCAGAGAGCTCCCGAGATTCGCCTGGCACAGAGAGAGCATCTGCGGCCAACTCCCACAAAATCGGAATAAATAATAACAATCATTTCCACGTGGCGTAAGGTAATTGGTCCGTCACCCTCCCAAGTCCACCAATACCCTCTCTTCAACGCTTAAACTAGCTTTTTTTAAGCGAACAAACAAAGGCCCAAAGAGAATCAGCAACAGAGGGAAAGAAATCATAAAAGGGAGAACGGTGTCTTGCAGCTTTTAATCTCTTGTTTCTCGACAGGTGTTTGTTTGTTTCGCTTTCATTATCCCTTTTTTTCTCTTGTACAGTGGTAACAGAGGAAACTGTCGAGGTTTGAGAGTGAAGACGACTGGGGAGGAAAAGGAAGAGAGGAACAGGGTGAACAGAAATCAGAGAAATGGAGATTGGGTTCTTGGGTTTGGGGATAATGGGGAAGGCTATGTCTATGAACTTGATAAAGAAGGGATTCAAGGTCACTGTTTGGAACAGGACGCTTTCCAGGGTAAAGAATTTGGGTCTTTGATTTTGTGGGCTTCATTGCTTGTTTTTTTTTAGGTAGAACTTCATTGCTTTGTTTTGGTGTTGATTTATGTTATTGATTCGAATTGGATGATTCTGTTGGTAGTGTGATGAATTGGTGGAAATGGGTGCTTCAGTTGGAGAAACACCAGCTGCTGTGGTAAAGAAGTGTAAGATCACCATAGCTATGGTTTCTGATCCTGCAGCTGCACTCTCGGTTAGTTCATTCTCCCTTTCTCTTTGTGTTCCTGTGTAGTCGTACTTGGAAGGAAAGTTCGATCATGTCTATAGTTTTATTCAGCTCAACTGGACTTAGCAATAAACCAAAGCCTTAGCTAGCCTCTGTTGTTGAATGATCTCTTCTTAGGGATCGTTTTGTAACCAAGGTTGCAGACTATTGTTCATTATGTGTGAACTTTTAGAACTAGTGAGAGATAAAAATGTGAAAAAGTGAGCAGAAACTCCCTAACTAAGGGGTTGTACTCTGGAATTCTTAGAGTAGTACGTGAACAAGAAAGACTATGTACTGTCGAAAACCACGATCTCAAAATCACAGGGGTTGTCCGATCCCTGCACATCAAATGACCCTTTACTGGATTTTCTGATTGGTGTTGTGTAGGTGGTGTTTGATAAAGATGGTGTGCTAGAGGAGATAAGCAGTGGGAAAGGTTATGTGGACATGTCAACTGTTGATCCTGAGACTTCTTCCAAGATCAGTGAGGTTTTGTAAACAACGATTTTTTGTTGCTTCTCTTGCTTAAATTTTAATGATTTGGATACAATTCCGAATGCTGATAAATGTGTGGTTATTGTGGTTCCAGGCAATTACATCTAAAGGCGGCTCTTTTGTGGAGGCTCCTGTGTCAGGAAGCAAGCAACCCGCAGAAGCTGCACTGCTTGTGATTCTTGCTGCTGGGGACAAGGTTAATTCAATATTTCAACACCATTCTTGATTCAGAATGAGAAATTCTTGCTTCTATGGATTTTGGTATGATTTTTTTGCATATTGGTGGTAATCTAGGCACTGTATGAGGAAGCAATTCCAGCTTTCAATGCCATGGGGAAGAAGTCTTTCTACTTGGGGCCAATTGGGAATGGAGCAAGGATGAAACTTGTTGTGAACATGATCATGGGAAGGTATGCACATTGCTCTTTTTTAGCCACATCTCTGAATCCTAAGATGCGTCAATATAGTAATCTTTTAATGTCAGACTGTCGTGTGCAAATAGAATAGGATCGAGTCTGCACATAGAAAAGTTGCCAAACGATCATTTGTTACTCTCTTCCTTCGCGTGATCTATTTTGGAAACTGGAAACCCTATCTATACAAGAGCAACGTTTCCCTTACTTTGAAACTTAAATTTACCGCTTGCATTGTCAGTATCATAACGAATCATTTGCCAAGTATGTGATCACGATATGGCGATTTCGGGGAATGATCATTTGCAGTATGATGAACGCATTCTCGGAAGGGATTGTCTTGGCAGATAGGAGTGGACTGAACCCCAGTGACCTTCTTGATGTGCTGGTAATATAAACTATCCATTTGCTGAGAGTATTTTTCTCTTTTCCCAACTTGGGCCTTCTTAGTAAATGAGACTGAACATGACATCAGTGTCCTACAATGTCCTAACAACAATGCTGTTTTTACAGGATCTTGGTGCCATTGCCACCCCAATGTTCAAAGGTAAAGGACCAAACATGATCAAGAGCAACTTCTCCCCTGCATTCCCACTGAAACATCAGCAGAAGGACATGAGGTTGGCTCTTGCACTTGGAGATGAAAATGCTGTTTCAATGCCTATAGCTGCTGCAGCAAATGAGGTGAAAAAATCTGAAACCCCTGCTCTCCCTATCTCTCTTTCCTCCACAGCCTCTCATTCGTCTTTCTGTGCTCTAATCACTGATGTAACCCAGTTCGAGATGAGTAGCAAGATAAGGTCACGAACGTAGTAGAACTCTCCCTGTCAAACATAATTGTGTTCCCAAAATCTTGATCAATCTGAATAAAATCGCTCGCCAACTGATTCACGTGCTTATATCAGTAGTTTATTGACGGCTTAGTTCCTTTGCGATGCAGGCTTTCAAGAAGGCTAGAAGCATGGGATTGGGCGATCTTGATTTTTCAGCTGTTCATGAGGTGGTCAAGCAGCATAAAGACTGAGCTTCTCCATATGTTTTCGGTGTTGAAATATCTTTAGTATGATTTGGAGCTCTAAAACTCTTGGTAGGGTTATTGCACGGGAATAGAGAAGAATCAAACACATTCCACATATCTCAAACCAATGGGAATTTCATCTTCGTCCCCATATGTTCTGAAACCTGCTTCTGGTTCAGGAGCAACACGGAAAGCAAAATTTTCATTAAGAACGTTTCGTTAAGAGTTTACAAATGTTACATATCATCTAAACTCTGAAGTTTATGAATGACATTATCAAGTTGACAAACATCATGGTGTACATCCTAAATTCAGAGCGTATCATAGACGTATCCTTATTTCCAGAGTGATGACAACTCGAAGAAGTCTGCTTTCAAATTTACAGCAGCAAAATTTCGGTTGCTTCCTCAGATTGGCTGTAATAATCTCTCGAAATGTAGCGAACCTAACCCTCCCTATTTATACAAAAAAAATATATTCTAACCACGTATACATCTAACTCAGCAAATGGTTCTGGTATAACATCTTCCTAAGCAGTGGTAGTGAATCAAACTTTCCTAAGTACAGCAAACAAACAGTTTCTAATAGAGACGCAGTTCTTCCCAAAGGAATCACGCCACTGCTCTGTACAAATTTGAGTTGAGTTTGCCGCCTTTCAGGGGGTAAAGCTTCCGATATGGCCAAAAAACACGTATCAGGAAAGCTGAGATTAGCACAACGGTATGAGATTGCCAAAAACAGATGGTTTCTGACATTGAACTGATATTTTTCGGCCACAAAATTCGAGCCTGTAATTGGGAGCGCTTGGCTACCTGAAAAACCCAGTACAGAAAGCATATTCGTTAGACATCGGGTGCAATGCTGATCGCATAGTTGTTACTTCAAATGACAACTGACTACAAGATGGAATAGGAAAATCACAATACCTGATCACTATTGTTGTTTCGTCCTTCTCTAGACGTTAGGTATTTTCTGAATGCTGCCAAATCAAGTGGTCCAATTTCACCAACCATAAGGCGAGTGCAGATGAAGTCTGAGGCATACTTGAGAAACATGCCACAATTTCTTCTGCGAAAGGATTGAAACCGGGAGCATCACTGGTTTGACACAGCCAATGCTCATTAATTGCAGCAACGAAATCAGTAACGACCTGGAAAAGATCTCAGTAGATCAGAAGAGTGGACTTGAGCACCATAAAACACTATTGAAGCATAATTGAAGAAAGGCGAAGTTAAGAGAGCCAGGGAAACAAACCTGCAAAAGCTCAGTTAATGAAGCGGTACGTCTTAGCCGTTTAACCCACAGCCTATGAGCAGACTTCGTCCAAGCACCCACCAAGGCCCCTTCAGGCGTCGCTGACTGCATTGAAACGGTTAAAAAGGGAGCAGAAGGTCAATCAAATTCGTTCAAATAACTTCAGAAATACATAGGATAGTACATGTATACAACAGCATGCACTTGAGCAAATAAACTGTTTCTCGTTGGCACTTTTTATGTATTTCAAATCAAAATATCAAATACACGTGGGCATCAAGTGAAAAATACACTTTATAAATTACGCCCCACATTTATGTTCTTCACTTCTCTTGCACAATTATTCTATACAAATAAACTACACTGAACAACGATTTCGCAAATGCGCTTCACACAATACCATGCAATTTGAACAAATAACATTCAATCAATTATATGGAACCAAATATAAAATGAGGCAAAAAAATCCAGAAAATTTGGTGAACAGGCAAACTGACAACGTACCTCAATCGCATGAACAGAAGCTTTCAACGTCTGAAGTACTGACGGCAAGACTTTGAATCTAGAGACATTTTCTTGCTCTTCTTTCAGTCTACACGTGGCTGTATGGACCGCATACTTCTCTTCAAGATCGAAATCAACCTCAAACGTCATGTGGCAAATCCTACAATGCTTTTCATCCCTCCAGTACAAATCATGACACGTCTGACATCTACCCAGATGTTCATAAAATGACCTTTTACTATGTTTCACTGCATTGAGACCACGGTAAAAATTATCCCATATCCATGAATCAAATAACTGTAGATGATTCCGTCTCGTGCTTTCTTCTTCCAGATTTCTCTCTGCATCGAGCACTATTGCGCTGCATGGCGACAATGAGTCGTTGGTTGTCTCCTCTAGACCAGAAATTGGTGAAGAACTGTCTTCCCTGACAGTTAACTCGGACTGCCATGATTGTAATGAGTGACAGCTGGCAGCATCATTACTCACATTCAACATTTCGTTGCATAGAAAAGTTTCCCGTCTCTCCAAGGATTCGATAAGTTGAGCTTCCCTCCTTCCCCTACCGTCTAAGACTGATAATAAGGAACGTAAAGCCTGCATTTGAACCAGGTCACAACAAAAGATAGTTACAGATAGATATTCGATATTGATCTCATGATTTCATCAATTCACAAGCACCAAAAACAAAGAAAGCAACTACCTCTGCAGTATCAATCACTTTCCAATGGCCATCTTCGGAAGATTCGAAATAGACCCTCTTGTGACCAGGATCATGAAAATCACAAGGGCCCAAGAAAAGCCAGTATCGATTGTACCGACGATCGGCTCCCAAGAATACAGACTGCATAGGGTGTAGATCAGCTGCAGATTCAGTCTCCTTTCCATCTTTCCCCACACGAGACGATATATCCTCTATGCTAAAGTTAGATATCGACATAGATGAATCAACAGGCCGAGACTTGGACGATGAGCATGAGTCAAAAATTTGTTTTCCGTGAACCCAGGATGGCCTGTGTAATGATGATCTCTTTATTTTGGCTCCAGAGCCATAATGTCGCAAGTTAGGAGCAGGTCTCACGGGATCCTAGAAGACGAAAGAGGAATGTAAATGATAAGTGATGGATGAAAAGGAAGGAATACATCGTTTCCAAGATCGTGATCTTTCACTATATTAAAAAAATACTGCAAAAATCATAATTGCAAATCGAACAATGAAATCATAAGAATTTGATATCCTATAATGAGTAGTGATTAATCACATAGATAAAAAAAATAGTGTCATTTAGAACAACTTAATGATTATCAGATATGTGTCATAATAAGTGTATATGTAACTTTATCATGCAGTTTTTAAATGCGGAAATTTAAAAATGCAGAATTATGAACAACTGGAATATATTAATTAAGGTATAAACTGTTACCTAGATTAATTAAGGTATAAAGTGTTACCTAGAATTGTAAGATCCTAGTAAATACTAATATAGTACGAGTAAAATCGTTGTCTCTGAAAAAAAATTGGTAAAATTGTCAGTTTTTTTATTAACCACAGATTTTATGGATCAGGTACTCCCTTCTATAGAGTCTAGAATCATAAGGCCATGAGTTTTAAAATCGCAATTGAGATTTTAACAACATTTTTTAAAAGGGAGACGAGAGAGTTGATAAAATGATCCCGAGGGTGATGAGCATTACCTCCAATCTAATGCTGGATCCCGCACTGACTAGATCAATTAAAGCTATCAAGACATCCAGCTTTTCGTCAATGCTCAAATCAGAATACTCACCATCCATTAGTCCTAAAACCCACGCTTCCCCAGGATGGCTCTCATCAATTTCATTGTGTACTGTCAGCTTGTTACTTTTACTTTTGCGACACTTAAGATGCCGAAGCTTTCTCAGGTTCGAATTTTCTGTGCCACACTCAGAGTCACTGCTGCTACACGTGCCAGCAGCATCATCAAAGTCATCATGAATGCTTCCCGAGTCTTCACTGTCGGAATGACAGCTCTCGTCTTCCTTCAAGAGAGTACCAACACGTAGACGGTAAGCAGCAAGTGATATCTTTTCAAATAAAGTAATGTCACTTGAGAGAGCTGAGCTTATCAACAGTTCCAGCTCTTCGTTTGTGCTGGCAAGATTTAGTTCGGCAACCTTCAAAATCAAGAGCAAGAAGGTTATGAGTTCCTTGGTTAATGCATAAACAGTCAAAAAGTTCTGAAAATACAGAGTATTTTAAATATCCTTCCACTCAAATTTTTGAATGCCTAGTTTAAGGACTCACCTGTGCAGACTTAGCCAACTCGGAAACTTTTACTCCGTTTTTCCCTTCCTCAAATAGGAGTCTGAACAGTTCACCCTTCAAAGTTCCAGGAGTAAGGCCATACTTCAACATAACTCTCATCTCCTATGAAGAAAAGTATGTTGCCATATTATAAAATTACTACTTATCAAATTCACATATGCAACAATTCACATGCCAAAAAAAAAAAAAAAAAAAAGACGAAAGACAGTAAGAAATATAGGGGAGAAAGAATTAATCAAACATTAACATAAATTGATGGAAAATGATACCATGCTAAGGTTTTGCCTCTGTAATGCACCTTGCTTTGAACCAAATCCAGCTGCTAAAAGTACTTGCCTTAATATTTCTGTCCAAGTTAGAGGATTTAGAGATTTTTTCCAAAGATCTACAACGAACTCCTGATTTTCAACCTGTCAAAGCAAAGAATAAATTTTGGAGTGAATAATCAGTCCCAACATAGGGTAGTGAGTAGTATGGTACAAGAAAAGACAGAAATTTAATGCGCTGAAGTAGATTTCCTAAATGGTTCACTGATACACTACACTCTGTACTCAGATTAAAGTTAGAGCTTCAGCAGAGTCATATGTACTCACTGAATGAAGTAATGCCAGAAACTTGCAAGATATGCTCAAATGATGCAGAAAACCATTGCTGATCTCTCGCTCAACGTCCGATAAAAGAAGCTTCAGAAGAGCTACGTGAATTAGGCCAAGCAACAAGGAATCCTGAAAAGAAGATTACAAGAAATTCGATAAAATTACATCAAATGGCAACAAATCATGTAAAATAAAAGCCACCATAAATCATCTCAGAAATCACCTTGTCATGAAATGTTTGAGCAAACGCATCCAACGTGAAGGAGCATATGTCAATTGTAACAGAATATGTATAAAGGAAATGCAAAACCTGCGAACAAGAAAGAAACAGCAAAGCCATGTTTAAGAACATTGGGTAAAGATCATATAGAGCAACACTATTTTTTTCCTTTAAATAAGTTAACGACCTGCATAGCAAAAATAGTATATACAAGATGTAAATGCCTCCAAATGGTATAAGAAAGGACTGAAAAGGAGCAGCAACAAATGCTCTATATGCCCTCATATAGAGCAACAATGTTAAACCCAGTAACTTTAGAAGTTCATTAACCGATTCAAGAACAAAGAAAAAAGGTGGTGGATGAGGTCATAAAGAACATGACTACCTTTAGAATTTGTCCTATAATCCTTATTTTCTTTGCCAGATAGGAAGATAAGAATGAAGGCTCAACAAAGAAGAGCACCAATACACAAAAACTGAAACAGGCACAGCTATTATCACAAAATCACCAACGCATATCCAACTCAGTGGATAGTTCAGAGGATACTCGAGAACCCACAAAGGAAAGAGCTCCGTGGACCTGACTTGAATACTTAAAATGGTGAGGCACTGAACGCTGTCATTTTTGCTTTACTCACCTTGAAAAATTTCTTGACAGACTCCGAAGAACACTCCAAAGGCTGCACTGTGAATGGCGGCTTCGTGTGTACAGAAACCGGAGGAAACTTAGGCAGCAAATCTGTTTTAAAGAAAATAGAAAGACTGTAGGTTGGAAGTATTCAAATATATATTGAACAAACCTGGTAGCACAATTCAGCAATCAAAGGTATCCCAAAGTATGAAAACTGATACACACCTTTGCAAAGAGAACAACTATGCAATCCATTGGCAGCACAATGTTCAGAACATGTTAGTGGATTTGGTTCTGCTTGTAACTCTCGCATCTCCACCTCTTCATCATCCATTAACAATGCAAATTGATTAAGCAGTTCTTGCGATATCCTTCCATCCAGAGCAAGTTGACATGTCTCCCTAAAGAGTTGCTTCTCGGTCTCTTCTCCTTTAGATCCTACCTCTTTTCTTTCGAAAGAAGCCTTCCGCTTCTCCTTCAAGCTTTCTCCAACCTTTAACTGCTTTGGAGGTCCATTAAAACAAATTTACATTTTGGACTTGACGATCCATCACTGCCAGAGATGTCACCATGACATCCCAAGACATGAGGAATAATAGGAATGTTCCGTCAAATGAAAACGACTCTTAAAAAGGAAAAGGTATCCAAGCATTACAGATATGGGTTGTCGTTTCCTCTTCTGACGTCGAAGTTTGCATGATTCAGCAGTTGTTGGTTCAGGTGTATTAGATATTTGTCTATCAGTTGGAACATCTATGCTATCTTGATTTATGGCCTGCCATGCTGTCATTAAGCCTTTGCCCATACCATGTTTCTTTATCGATGAACTCACAGTACATTCCTGAGATTGGAAGATCAGGAGAGAACAGAGGATAATGAATAATCTTTGATTGAGGTAAAAGATAGTATAATAAGCATCATGCCTAGACATTTATTTACAGTACCTTTCTCATCAAGCCTTTGCCCATACCATGTTTCATAGTGGACACTCCTATTCTACAATCCTTGGCATTCTGAGAAGCCACAAAATAGGAGAAAATTTTGAGACGGTATGAAAAGGCAAGCAGAAGAATACAAATTATGAATGTACAATATGGCACAACAGTATCCTGCACAAGATGTTATCCTTACCTTTCTCATCAAGCCTTTGCCCATACCATGTTTCTTCACAAGTTCACTCAATGTACAATCCTCAACATCAACATGCTGGGAAACCACAAAAGAAAAGTGAGAACTGAAGGTAATTGACAAAGAAGAGATGAATAGTGGACATTTTGTGGAAAGAACCATCTAAGGGTTTACTTGCAGTACCTTTCCCTTCCTGATCGTTGCTTCATTTTCTTCGGAAGCAGAAAGATAGTTTATGGATTCTGAATACGGGGAAAAATGACAGTATTGTTTCAAAACAAAAAGGAAGCATAATAATTAATAACAAACAATAAATCTGCCGGTAGCCACATAACCTCAAATCTAACAGAAAAGAAAACAGCAAGAGTTCAGACAAGTTCAGTTACTATATTCCACAATTCAACATCATATAAACAAAGAGGGGCAGACTAGAAAGATGACAAGCATGCTTTCACGAGCCTCTCCGCTTCTTCCAACAATTTCTGATCCTACTTCTCGAGAAGTAGATAAATATCCTTAAGAGCAGGTTAGAGCCCACCTATATACACCTATAATCACATTCCATTAAGAAAGAATGTACAATGCTATCTGGGCAGTCTACCTTTAATAGCATGGAATCCACGGGAAGGAACAGAGTCGAATTCCACACCCAAGGCAGGCCCATCTTTACGGAAAACCTTGCTCATAATATATTCCGAAGAGTGCAACTGTTGTATGCGAGTCAATTTTGAGGACCTCTCAATAATCCCATCTTCCACTTCCGAAGACAAACTACTGCCAGATTTAGTCATGTCATGACTCAATGATCCCACCTCTATGAGTATCTTTCTTCCTTTGGCGGAAGGGAGCTTCTTGCTCTGAATAGGGGTTACAGCCAGCCGTTTCTTACTTTTCTCCCGCCTCCTTTTCTCCATAAACCATCCCCGGACCTGGGAAACTGTAAGGTCAAGGGATTCGGCAAGCTCTGCAATAGCATCATTGGTAGGATACTTCTCCTCTGTTTGGGGAAAGAAGCCTATCAGAACTCAAACTAGGCAGCAGCCATAATCAAACAGTGTAACCCGACTGACTTCATATAAGGTTCATAGCAGAGGTTGAATGAAGAATTGGAGCTCGAATTCGTTCTCAAATTAAGCAAGAGAATGGAGATATATAAGTATGAAAACACGTTACCGGAAAATAACTTCCGGAGAGCTTCAAGCTGCTCCGGTGATTTCCTCTTTAATTCCATTTCTCCAACTCCTCGCTTCTATCAACCGCAATTCCTAATCAAACCGACCTCGAATTCCCCATGCCCTGCGCAAACAAAAACGCCAATTCCTTCATTAGAAGTACTCAAAGACAATACAAACGAAACCAGAGGCGTCGCCAAGCAGAGAGCTAAGCGGAGAAGAGGAAAGTGAGAGACCGAATTCAACAATTAAGAGAAACACACAGAGCACTGAGCTTCTTCCACACACACACACAGCGAAGTGCTGTTCCACAGTTCCAGGAGAATGAAGAAACAGAATGGAGGCACGGAAGCAAAGGCGGCCATGAAGACTGTATCAGTAATCACCAATTCAAGTTACAGGCTAAGGAAATCACACAAACAGGCTCAATGAAATGATGAACTAGCTGCAAGCTCAGTTCAGGTGGGGGGACTTGAGGAGAGAGGGCAAATTGGGCGCTGGGGGGACTTACTGGTGAATTCATTTCGATTGCCAGAAGCTGAGAGTGATGAGGACTGAGGAAGCAGAGATATGACTTGAGTCGAAAGGGTTTATGGGGAAGAAGGAAGGAGAGGGGAAGGGTGTGACTTGTTGGGTTTTATCATCTTTTCTTCATTTGTGTTCATTTATTTTATTTTTGGTAAATATCAACAAAGAGCTCATAGTTTAAGATTTTTATCACTTATATCCTAACTAAGAATGGAAACCCGCTGATATAAAAAAAAAAAAAAAAAAAAAAAAAGAAAGGAAACCCGCGCGCTCCGCGGCGGGGAAAGGTTAATATGAACTAATTAGGGTTAATACTTAGTTTGAGTTTGGCCCGAAGTTTGGCCTAAATGGCCGTTTTGGGCGCATTTTATAAATAAGACGTTTATTGTCTACTTTTGAAATTATTGGACAAATTTGACCCAAAATTTTCTTTGACAGTTAATATTAACGGTCAAACACTATTCCGTTAAAGACTCAACAAACAATCACTGATGTGGCATGCCACATCACTAAATAATATTATTTTAATTTTATAATTCAATTAAAATAAAAATTAGCAAATTAATAAAATCCTCTTTATCCCAAAATCCCCAAATCCAAACCCTAGGACGCTCCATCGTCGCTCTCCATTTCTTCGCCGACCCAAATCCAAATTCCCTCTTGTTACATGCTCTGCAGTATACTTCTGTTTTTTAGGCTTGGACCAGAGCATTACCACCGGTATGGCCGGGTAAGGAGAGATTGAAGCTCTGATTTTCTGGCGGCGTGTGGGCACCATTGTGTTCCCATGGCGGCTTCGAATCTGGAACAGAGGGAGGCGAATCGCCGCTGGAGGGAGACAACATGGCGCCGGATCTGGCCATGAGAGGAAAAGAGCAGCCGCGCGAGGGAGTTTGTATGGCCGAATCTGGAATAGAGGGAGGAGAATCGCCGCTGGAGACTTCAGATATGGAATCTAGGCGGGCTGACTACTGAGAATCGCTGCGGGAGGAGACTGGATCTTGCCGAATCTGACCTCGGGAGGAAGAGAGATCCGCCGCACGAGGGAGGTTGCATGGCGTCGGATCTGGAATCTAGAGGGAGAGGGAGTCGCCGGATTGGGTTCTGGGTTCGAGAGGGAGAGCGATGCGCCGGATCGGGTTCTGGGTTCTTCACCACGACAGCGGCGACGGCGGCAGAGCAGTGGAGAAAGTCGGTGGTTGGGCGAGCAGCAAACCCATCACTCTTTGCCCTCTCTCCGTCGACGGCGCATCCTTTGACGATGACGAAGCGGCGACACCATGGTTGAGATAAAAAAATCGAGAAATAGAGGAAGGGGTTTCAAAGAATCTCTCACTGTGAATGTTCTGTTTGTGGGAGGAAGAGAGAGTTTGAGGGAGATGGAGAGATGAGGGGACATGTGGAGTGAATGATCGACAGCTCAGGGGGGGGGGGGTTTGCTTCTATCGGTATATTCGGTTATACCGAGTAACCGGCGGGTACTTACTGGATATGGGTCGGTATACCGACAGCTCAGTTTCGTCTGCCGTATACCGATACCGCCGGTTAACGGTTTAACCGGTAACCGCCGGTTACCGGTACGGTTACCGTTTAAACCGTTAACCGGCTAATCGGTTACCAGCCCTAATTACCATACCCAATTAAACAATCCAACATGGAAAGATCCACAAGGATGAGAGCAATTCCAGGACGGTGGGAGGAGAATCCACCCCATCTCGTTACTTCCCTTTCTCTCATGAACTTCCAGCCTCCGTCCTCGACGCTTCTTCCTCCTTCTACCTCCAGCCCACGAACCTGATCGATGATTCCGTCGAGATCAGCATTTTCGACGCCACCAAGTACTTCAACGGCGAGAATATGTCATAAATGTCTTATTAGAAAAATTGGGTTAGAACTGTCACTTACGTCAAACTTGGGGCCAAACTGAGTATTAACCCAACTAATCCACCCATATATATATATATATATATATAGGAGTGCATATAAGATTTGTGCCACGTCAGCCAGCGGAAAACAACCCTGAATTAGCGGAGGGGTAATTGTGACAAACCAGCAATTTTATGGGCTGGTTATCTAGGCCTGCTAAAAATAATAGACAGAGATGTAAAAGCTATCAATTTTTTAATGGAACAATTGCCTGCTAAAGGCAGATTTTTTGGCCCATCAATTTAGCTCACTAAATTTAAACCCCAACCAGTAGCTACTTCTTTCGGGCCGGTATATTTGGCCACTCGAGGAGGAGATTTTGGAATGAGAAGATGGAGCAAAGATGGGTTATTTATTTAGGGAGAACTCAATTAGTTTTAAATTGGAAGCATCATTAATATTAAGGAATTAGGAGTTGCGGTAATGTTTTTTTTTTTTTGACGAAAGAGTTGCGGTAATGTTAAAGGGGAAGGAAAGTGCAAAGTATGATGAGAAGTAGGAATGGTAATGGAAGGTCGGGGCGGGTAATTTAATACTCATATATGTTCTGTGATAGGACATGTTTAGATTTGGTATTTTGTTATGGGTGTGGGTTGCGAAAAGTTGATTCATATGTGTATATATTGTAAAGGAAAAACACTTGATACATTGATTTTTTTCATTAAAAATTTGACAAATAAACTATAACATGATAAGTATAGTTAGATTATTCAAGAGAACTTAAGGTTCTCATATATTTACAACTATAGTTAAAATATGATGTAACATAAGTAAAATCTTAAGTAAAAAGAAGAGGAAACAGGCGAAGCAAAAAAGAAGAGGAAATTGCCCCACCTCACTCTCCCTCACTTCCCATCCCGCTCCGAAATTTCGCACCTCCTAACCCTTCGAACGGCCGACGACAAATCCTACTTGAACATGGAAGACGATACAGATTACCACTTGGCATCCCAGCTCGGCGGCAGCATACAGAAGAATCACTACCTGGCTTCAAGAGACGGATGGCTCCTTGTACTGAAACCCCGCCGCTGCTGCTGCCACCCACTCAATTTCTACCTCCTCAATCCGGCCACCGGAGCTTCAATTCCTCTCCCTCCTCTTCCTCCTCCGAGGATCCCAACCCCAAGACACGAACGCCGTTCTTCTCTTCCTCCCGCGGCCGAAGAAATCAGGAAAGCCCTCATCTCTTCATCCCCTGACTTTACAGACAGCTCATGCCACGTTATAATTCTGTTCCAATCCACCGCCAGGGATCCTCCCCAATTGGCCTGGTGCGAGGTCGTCGAAGGAGGAGGATGGGAATTGACCAGCTTGACCGATTGGGTCAAATTGAAGTACCGCAACATGGGCTATGCGGCGCCGCAGGACGCGGCCTACTTCGGAGGTAAGCTCTACATTGTCGGCAGTCACCATCTCTACATTGTTCATAACCTGATTGCTGCTGATTCTGGCGGCGGTGGCGCTATTGCTGTGAAAATATACCCTTTCCGTTCCCCAGAGCAGGAGGAGGAGGATTTGGTCTGTTTTATGAAGGCTTATTTCCATGTGGCGCAGTCTTATGATATTGGTGATGGTGGTGGTCATAATCCCCTGCTCATCTGCGAATTGATCGAATTTGACGATGACAGAGGATTCAATGTACTCAAGCTAGTAACTGTACGAAATGATGATGATGATGATGATGACGACGACTATTAGAAGGAGGAGAAGAAGAAGCAGAAGGAGAAGCAAAAGAGGAAGAGGAAGAGGAAGAGAAGAAGAAGAAGAAGAAGACAATCTGGATGGTGATGTTGGTATAGTACTTGATTGGTCTAAGGGACACAAAAGTAAGAAGAAGAAGAAGAAGAAGAAGAAGAAGATGATGCTGTCTTCGCCCACTCTGATCTCAGTCCTGTATTATTATGCCTTGTTAACTATTCCTCTGTTTATGGCACTCTTGTGTTTATTATTTGCCCCTGCTTAATCACATGATCATTTGTTGTTTAATTTCAGAGATAATGGTCTCCTGAACTATTGGGTCTCTGCTGTAGTGAGTTTTCTGCACTAGGTTTTTGTTTATTATTTTGTTGCTTTGACTCGAGGCTTAGGTTCCAAGTAAAAGAGTTTAGAGGAACAGATACTAGGGATACTATAGACATTATAAAGAGGGGAAGACTTGTATTTGTATCAAGGAATTGATGTTATGTTCAATGCTCAAATCGAGATAAGAGCTCGAATTGATGCAATGAGCTTCCCATGTGCAGAGTTGGGTTGTTCACAAATGGGGAGGAATCGTCGATGGACTAAAGAGCGGAAAACTTGTATCAAGGAATTGATGTTATGTTCAATGCTCAAACTGAGATATCCATGAGATGAAAGAGCTGAAATAGTGTTCTCTACATGAACCCAAAGCAAAATTTCTATCAAGGGAAAAGTACTGTAGGATCCCAATCAGAGATATCCAAGATATGAAGAAATCAGTTGCAAATCAAAACAGCTCAAGACTCGAGTGTTATCAGCCGACATAGCCACCAAGATCAAGGTCGTGTCATTTACGACATATACCAATACAATAACAACACCATATTGGGATCGACTCAACATATCCAACCCACCAAAAGAGAAGAAAATAAGAAAACAGCACCCCCTTCAAAAATAATATCGACTATGGAGAGAAAGAATAAACACAAAAAATTGGCCTTCATATAATGTGCACATTGGCTTCGGTAACCGCTGCTGCAGATTTGTCTCTAAACAGAGTACAGGGACTCCCAGCTTTTACATATGGACGAACCAAGCTTTGCATGACACTGACAGGGGACTAGTATACAATCAAAACTCGAGAAAGGAACAGTACCATTTATAATGCAAGTGGAACCTGTCCTTCACTTCCATGAGGCCCTTCCTTGCGGCGGGGGATACTCCACAGTACATCGAGCTGGAAAGGGGCTGTGCAGAGTCACTCCTCTCCAACTGACTAGTGTGATTCCCCAATATGAAGTTGCGTCGAGTAGCAAGAAGATTTTAAAATAGCTCCTCCGAATTGAACTTGTTCCATGCTTCCTTTATTACACAACACGAATCATAGAGAATAGTTGAGCCACTTGGTTGGGTGAAAAGGAACAAACACTAACTGTTCACATTCTACCTCAATTGTTACCATATATGTACCTTTAGCAAGTCGAAGACCTTCTCGGCGACGTACTTTTGTTGAAGATTGGCACCTTTCTGTTGCACTTTATCAGGGTGAATGCATAAAGTTGCTTTCCTGTATACTTTTTTAACCGCCGCAGCAGTAATCAGGTCGGTCAAGGAAACGGGCTGCCAACCACATTCAGGCCACAATACCTGGTAGATACAAAAACGAGTGTCTTATTAGGCAGAAAATATTGAGTACAAAAGGAAAATGAATTGGATGAGTTACTGCGGATGAAGGACAAAAAGCTTGGATAAAACACTAGAAACCATACATATTGCAGTGTTGATAGTAGAGCACGCAGATTCCCTTCTTTCCCAGCAGCCCATCTCTTGATCTCGAAATCCAGAGTTTCGCCAATTTTCTGGAAAAGAAAGAAGAAGAGCAAACAAAATCACATGACTGCAGTGCAAAAGCACTCCCCCAACAAATCATCTTCATCAGTCTTGGACAACATAAAGTAACATAAACATGGCACGAGAATCTCAGTTCATCGATTGAGAACTATCACACGAATGGAAACGATAAAGCTGTGAGGTCAGCAACTTCTATCCGCATAACACTAGGTATTACTTTTTGGTACTAGAGGATAGAGGACTAAAAGATCCAAACTAAATGGCAGGGCTTCAAGGGGATAAGCTATAATGTAGATTAACACTATAGACATCCTACCTAGTGCGACAACCTTCACCTTTCATTGTATTCATTCCAATGACTTCTAATGAAAACCCATAAAGACCCAGGCCCAATGTAGATTAACATTTCCTAACTAGTAACTACTGCGACCACCTTCACCTTTCATAATATTCATTCTAATGACTTCCTATGACAACCCATAAAAAGACGCCAGGTTCATTCAGCAAACCACTGTAGTGCTGTAAAACAGCCTGATTTAAAAACTCCTGCAATAAAGCTAATTCCAATAAGCTTCTACAAACAATATAAAAAGCCAGAAAATTATCCAAGGAAATTGGCCAAATAGACTAGTACATCACATTCAGATGGATCCAGTAAAGTTAGCTCTAACAAGCTTCTAAAAACAATTTAAACAGCCAGAAAATTATCCAAGGAAATTATGACAACTTACATGTCTCTCTTCTTGTTCCCTCTGAGCTTGAAGGTCACGCTGATTCTTCTCAGCCAATGCTTGTTTCTGGGGAAACATAAATAATTGGCAATTACAGCTACAGAAGCAGAAGCAGAAGAACAACAAAAACTACATATGCCTAGTAATATGAGAAACCAAAATAAACCACTTAAACTGAATTTTTTTTTGAAAAAACATACTGCGCGCTCCTGAGTTCTTTGGTGGCGTTCCAGCCTGGCTCTTCGTCTTTCTTCAGTTTCCCCTTCAACCTCTTGGAAATCTCCAGATTGTCGACCTCCAGAAGCTTTTCGAAAGTAAAAATTGGCCAAACAAGCTCAGCCAATTTATGAAGAAAAAGAATAACAAGAATAGCTGACTAATCACGGATGAACATTCGAAGTCTGTAACATAACTACCTCCAAAAATAGAGGACAGATCATCAACGATGTTTGCAGTTGAAGATGCTTTTCTCATGTTAGATGAAGAACCAACAGAAGTCCTCTTAGGTGGTTCAGGAGGTCCCTTGTTAGCGGTATCGAAGAATGGATCCTGTGATTCAGGCACAGCACATTAACCCAAAAATTACAACAAAAAGCCAAGACACTCCATCAATAACTAGCCTATCAGAAAATTGAGTTAATTTTGCGATATTCTTACACCCTCACTTAATGATTTTCAGTAAAGGTATCTACGTAAATACGATGAAGGACCAATCATACATGACATGTAGTATTTTTTCCATAAGAACTCTTTTAAGACCTTTTTTAGCAAACGAATTAATTGAAAGGGGTTCCTCTGACTACAACAAAGTAAATAGTCCTAATCAAGAATAAGGAAAACCAGCCCTATCAAATTCCTGAGGTTAAAAAAAGCCTTTCCAGCAAAAATTATTAGCATAAAATGTATCACTTACGGAAGTGGTTGCCCGAGGTCGTGGAGCGCTGCTCGGTCGAGAACTGAAGAATGATTCAAGATCATTTTCATTTTTGGGTTGGGCATCATATTTTTGTTGGTTTGCCCTTGCCGCAGCAGCAGCGGCTCTTTCTCTAGCTTCTTGAGCTGCCCTTTCCACTGCAGCACGTTCAGATCTAGCTCGGGCCTCCCTTTCCTTTTCAACATTTGCCCTCTCTCGTGCTTCTGCTGCTGCTCTTTCTGCTCTTTCCTTAGCATCTGCTGCTGCCCTTTCACGAGCTTCGGCTTGTGCCCTCTGAACTGCAGCTCTTTCTGCTCTTTCTCGAGCTTCGGAAGAGGCTTTGCCTACAGCAGCCCTTTCAGCTCTAACACGAGCATCAATGGCTGCTCTTTCACGTGCCTCTCTAGTGGCCCTTTCTACTGCTTGTCTGTTTCTTTCCCTTTCGAGCCGTTCCCTTTCCCTTTCTCTTTCTTGCCTCTTCTGCTCTCTCTCCTTCTCTTCCCTCTCTAATTCACGAAGTCTCCTCTGTTCTCTATCCTCCTCATCCTGCTCTCTCTGCTGCCTTTCACGGTCTAATCTCTCTTGCCTTTCTCTGAGTTCTCTTTGCTGTGCTTCTAGCATATCTTTGTCCTGCTGACTGGAATCCTTACTTCTAGCAGCCTTCAGATACTCCCTCTCTCTCATTTGTCTGAATTTCGCTTCTGCTTTATCCATAGCATCCTTCATAGCAGCTGCAGATGCAGCAGCAGAAGAAGAATTTGTGTCCACATCATCACCAGCAAAAGTGTCTGCATGATCATTTACATTATTGTTCTGGGCCCTGCCCATGGCAAAATCCTCAAGTTCATCAATTGGAGACGCGGAGCTTCTCGATGCTTGCGCCGTCTTAGGACTTTGTGATCTAGTGAAAGAGTATTCATTAAACTTCTTTCTCGCATTCGATCTTGGTGGTCTTGGAGGTGGAGGCCTAGAAGGCGGGGGAGCACTAGTGGGATTAGTAAACAGAGGAATTTCTGAAACGGTGAGCCATATTTCATCAGCTGATTCTGTGACCTCCTCAGGTACTAGAGATGGAAAGGTCTCATTAGTTGAGACGCTGGCATATGAAGGTGGAGGAGCACTGGCTCTTTTGCTAGACTCTGTCGGGCCAAAAGGAGTTTCCAAAAAATCATCAATGGGAGCCTTGTTCTGTGAGTATCTCCCAGTATTCTCCACAGGATATTTGTCAACTGGATCCTGAATAACAGGAGAAAAACTGCCACCCATACTGGCTTCCGATCTTAATGGACTCCTGTTCTTCCGTCTCTCATCAACCTCGCTTGAAACTGATGGAACAGATTTTCCAAGATTTTCAAGAGAATCTAAGTCATCAAATGATCCCTTATTTACACGTGAACTATTTATTTTTGTGCTTCCTGAGCTATTGAATCTACCGATTTCTTCCAATGGATCGGCAAACTCTCCAGAGGATGCTCCTGCAGGAGTTGACGTTGACTCTAACACTACAAATGGATCATCAATTGTAGCAGGAGCTGTCTTGGCTGAATTGGTAGATGGTCTGGTGGACCGAGTGGACTCGGAAGTTGACCTGTGACATGAATTCTCCTCGAAAATCATTAAGCGTGGAACAGAGGGTGATATGAAGGTATTCACAATAGCTTCCTATACTAAGGTTCATCAGCCACATGACCGCACAATCTTCTGATAGACCGTGTTAAGCTAAAAGCAGCAATCATAAATTAAATGTTTACATCTTGAATCCTAAAAGAACAAGATGATCACATAAATATATCAAATAAGTTGGCAGCCAATGTAAAAGTATCTCATAGTTGAGAAAAGTAAGTTCCATAAACGAAATCTAAAGTGAAGAAAGCAAGTACCATGCACCCTCCAGTCTCTACTACTTTACTCTACAACCATGACAACATGACAGATGGTAAACAGAACTAAGACTATACTAGCAGAAGTACACAAAGACAAGTCCTTTTGTACAGCATATGGATTCTTCTCATTGACACAAAACATCTACATGCAACTAATCAAGTGTATCAGGAAATCTTTACAAAAAAAAAATAAGCATACCAACTCGAACTTCACCATTTCACTCCCACTCAAATGTGCTAGCTTCAACATTCGATCAGCTTAACAAATGTAGAAGGTACCTGCTTATGCTGGGGGAGCTACTGCGACCAAAGCCAGGAAGCAGATCATCAAATACAGGAGAGTCTTTCTCCATCTTGGAAGGAGCCTCTCTCCTGGACTCCGCCCCTTTCTTCCCCAGATTCCCCAGCAGGTCATCAAGCGGCGAGCTGTTCATTGACTTATGCTTGGGAGAAGAACCAACACCAACAGAAGGAAACACGTCGTGCAAGTTAGCCGTGGAAGGAGCCGCCGACGTACTCTTCAGCCCAGGCAACCCAACGAAAATGTCGTCCTCGTCGTCGAACACCGGCTTATCGAAAACCGGAAGCGAAGACGACTTGGCATTCTGGTCCTTGTAGACTGCGTCGTAGTAAGAAGTAGAGGCAGACGGAGATGATGCGGCATTCCCGCTCCCGCCGCCACGCGATTCCCCGTACTTCGGCGGCCCGCCGAATACGTCGTTGAACATTAGACCGTCAGCTCCACCACCGACGCGATCGTGATCGTCGAAGATTGGGTTGCTGTTGCTGGAATTGCGCGCGGGTGGCGCCATGGGAGCGGATTTCCCCTGCGGCTTGAATCCGAAGTCCCGCGCTAAGAGGCCGGGAAAATCGTCCATGGATCCCCGCACCAGAAAAGAATTCGAGCAAGTTGTTCGGATCTACCAGGAGCCCGATTTAGGGGCGAAGATTGGATCAGTTCCAAGCTTAGATCTAAAATGGCGGTTGACAACGCAGATGCTGTAAGGATCAAGAAAGAAAATTTACAGAGAGGCAGACCAATTAACTATTCATAATTAAAGTGGACGGACAGGGAAAGGGATTAGGTTTGGGGATTGATTATTCGAAGGGAGAGAAAGGAAAAAGGAGGAAAAGAAGCTGAGAAAATTGCGACGGAGATCGTAGCGAGAGAGGGGATTCGCCGCCGGTGAACTTCGTGTCTTTTCTACTTCCGGCGCTGCATTCTTCTTCGTCTTCGGCCTCTCTCTCTCTCTCGCTCTCTCTTTGTTTCTCTGGCTGTTCGAATCTGCAATTATTTTCTTCTGGTTCTTTGATTTCCTTGTTGTGGTTTTTCCCCGAAGGATTGTTGTTTCCTCTTTTTATTTTTCTTTCTAATGTTTGGAATTTGGAAAATAACGCAGTACGCATAGTTTCATTCATTTACCACGGGAGTCCTCCATAGATTGTTAATGAGAAATTGTTCATTCCAACCTTGGCTTTATTTGGAGGTCTCTTGATTCTCATAAAAAGCACTCTCACTTCCTTAGAAGTTTATTACCTCTTGTTGTTCCTTGTTCTATCTTTAGTCATCAACAAAGTAGAATCAAATCTTAAAGCACTTCCTCTTATGAAGAGCTAAAGAGAGCAACAAATATCATTTGGTTACTTAGAATATCACCAAATCTACTCGTTTAGTAGGAAGGCTTGGCCTCAAGAATCTTCATTATTTCAACTCAGATCATCAAGCTTGATGGAGAACTATAATCGCCTCTAAGTTTGGCTATCACACTCCTTCATGGAATCTGCATAGTACGACAGGAACCATGGGCACCTCTCTTTGGCATCGTATCATCGAAGTGGAACATTATTTTTTATAGTGCAGTGTCGTGAAACTGAGTACATTTTCATCTATACCCTTTATGGGATGATACTTGGATGTCGCGGTACAACTTGGCTACCTCCTTACCCGAGTTTTTCTCCACGATAACAAAGGCACCATAGTTGTTGATGTTGTCATGTTCTTCAATAACTATTTCACATGGAATGTCAACTTCATGTACACTTCTAGAGGCGCTTTGCTAAGAACTTTGTAGCAGTCAACAACCATCTTATCACAAGTCTTCATTCTTGGTTACTCAAAACTAAAGACAAGCTTCATTCTCTTCTTCCAAACAATAAATTCTTTGTGAATGCTTGTTACGAGTTTATCACGCAAGACATGTTTCCTAGCTTAGAAGAACCATTTTCGGAAAAATGCATTTAGAACCCAGTAGCAACAAGATATCAACTCTTTGGACAGCCTACCAAGAAAATATCCTCATTCACGATTAACCGAAGCTCCAAGGTTGGTGCCTCCCAAAATACGTCGGTAGGGCTCATCAATAGATCAATTCAAACATTTGTGCATGGAAAAACTCCAATATCCTCGCTCCCCCATGATGATTTAAGTCTATATCACTTACTTTTTGAAAACTCGAAGGCGTCTTTCCACCCTCTTTGCAATCTCTACCTCTCCATCTAGTTTCTGCACTCACACTCTTTCTTTTCTTTTTAATTTTTGTATCTCGAGAGCTAGTCCCCTAACTTATGTGCACTCCACTATTTTGGTGAATAAAATTTAAGCACACATGGGAAAAAATTAGCTATTAATTAGTCCCAAGATATATTTCTCATGTCACTCAAAGTCTTGTAAAATTAATTTAGTTATAATTTTGGACTATTTTGTTAGTTAACAAATGCTAGCTTAACTAAATATTGAAAAACTAATTCCACACTAAAGTGTATGATATGCACTCGTTTTCGTAAATATGCCAGAAATCACCATTTATAATTAAGAGCATCCACGTCAATGATATTTTTTCAATTGCATATCATATTCCTACATGACACTCAATATGCAATTGCAAAAGGCATTGCATCAATGTAGTGGACACTTGCAAAGATGCAAGCTTGCAATAAATAATAAAAAAATAATTTATTTTTTTTCTCTTGATTGGTTTATTTATTTATATTATAAATCACTTAAACCCTCATATGCAATTGCAAGTGAATTGCATTGATGTAGGTGCAATGAAATAAAGTTGAGTTGGATTGAATAAAGTTTGAAAAGACAATAAAAAATAATATGCAATTGATTTTGCAATTGCATTGATGTTAATACTCTAATAAAGACATTCTGACATGGGCACACTCCACGTTGGATGAGTATCTATAGCGCCAAGAGAAGGAAGGGACAACGCTAGGAATTCAAGCGGAAAATCGATGGATGAGGCCGATTGGGATGGATAAATATTAACACTGATGTTGGATTGTACCCAATAGGAGCGGGGCTGGGATTTGTAGTTCGAAACCACAATGGCGGGCTTATATTGGCAACATCAAAGAAGGTGAGAGATACAAGACCCAGAGCTAGGTGAAGCAATCACAACAAATTTGGCTTGCAGTTGGCTCGTCAACATCAACTGGGAGTACCAGTCTTAGAAATGGACTGCACACAAGAGCATTAGGAGACTCATTGAGCTTGCACCTTGAAGAACGGGTAAGCACGCAAGTCGGAATGCCAATACTGCAACACACATTATGGCCTATATGGAGACTAGATGGAATGAGGCGGATGTTTGGTTTGATCACCTTCCAATTTTCTTAATTGATCAGATGAAACTTAATGATTTAACAATGTCGATTAATCAATAAATTGAGAGTAGATTTCTATAAAAAATTAAGAAAGGTCATATTTTGATGTTTCTTACCAGATTTTACTATTATATTTTACAAACGATATATAACATTACATAACAGCCATGAAACCAAAAATAAAAAGAATAAATATACATTAACAACCATGTAGTTTAGGGGTGGTATTCGGGTACCCAGTTAACGGTTTAATCAGTTACCGAACCAGTATTTGATGGTAACCGGTTACTCCATTAACCGAAGGTATCAGTGATCGGTGGAGGAAAAGACACATTCGTTAAACAGACCTGTACGCGGCAAGTAGCCGGTGGTTAGCTGGTCAACCGAAACCCTCACCAAATACGATGGCGTATAAGGCTTAGTTCTCATCCTTCTCCCCCGCTCACCTCACGAACTCACTCCCACCTCTCCATCCTCGTTCCACTCCAGCCCCCATTCTTTAAAAACTCTGTCCCTAACGAAAGAGGTAGAGCCGCCGAGACAGTGGACAACCGCTAGGCACCAGTCCACCACTCACCGGAGAAAGGCGCCGTCGATGGCCGCTGGTCGAAGACCGAGTTGCTCCGATTTGGGAGAAAGCGACGAGCTGACGAGGTTTCAGTAGTGCTTGTCCGATTCAGGAGATTCTTCATCATCTTCAACCTATGCCACTAAATGGCCAAATCTAGCGCAAAATGCTTCTTCGATTTTGGCCACTGCATGTCCAGATCCGGTGCCATCTGCTTCTTCGATTTCGACCACTAAATGTCTAGATCTGGCGCCATATGCCGCCTTCCAGCTCCCCGCCGTCGTCTCCTCGGTCGGCTACCGCCTCCCTCTGCGGCCCAGCGACCGAAGTCCATGAGATAGTTATTGTTATAAGTTCATAACAAAATGGATGTAAGTCATTTGTTGAAGTATCTAGGTGAAAATGATGAATTTATTGCGCCACAAACATTAGAAGAAATTGTGGCTGATGCCATTGGAGGTTCAATTGAGGATGAAAGAGATGACGATTCAACACCTTTGAAACCGCTCACGCGAAAGGAAGCACTTAAAAGCCGCATCGACTCTTAAAAAATACTTGATGCAATTAAAGAAGACAACGCTGGAGACTTTGAGTGCAATGAGGAAAGTTCAAGATGAACTCCTATTAGACTTGAACTTCAAGAATAAACAAATAACTACATATCATTTTTTTTAGATTATCGTAAAACTATATTATAAATTTCTAGATGAATTGTATTTTTACAATTTTTAATTTATAGAGTTAAAATACATGTATTTATGTAGGTTGGTTCTCAAAAATTATTTTATTATTTATTAAATTTGCTCATTTTTTACACTGGCCCAAGTCGAGACCGGAAAAATTATTAATTTATACTAGGTTATTAATTTATCAATTATTAATTTAAAGAAGTTATATTGTAATCATGTTGTTTATGGATGTTTATCTTTAATGTTGAAAATTTTGGATGGATAATTTGTAGTTTGCTTGTATATTCTAAATTAGTGTTTTTCTGTGGATAATTTGTATGGGCAGATTGATGTTAGAATTTTATTTTGATATGAACTTGTTAATGTGTATTTCTTACCACGGATACCCAACGGGTTGGGTTTTACCCCGATTTTATTTTACAGATATACCCATGGATTTGGGTTTGACAAAATCCAACCCAACCTGACCCATTGACATCCCTAGTTGGGATGCTCGATTCGGCTCTTTTTATGGCTACGGATAGGGTGAATAACCTTATGGTGCATAATCTTGCATAACTAAATCTGAGCACTTTATTTTAAATGGACTTCAGAACTAAGAGTTGAGCAATTAATGACTTTTTATTTTCCCTAGTTTTCTTAATATGCTTTTATCTTATTCGTTCTAACTTGGATTTCAATTTTTTGCACGGATGGAATGAGTTTGTTGTGCTCTACAAAATGAGATTCGTTTTCAATATATTTTGAGAATTTTTTTATGTCACTCATACAACTCGTTATCACCTCCATACCACATGGTATCTCCTTTGTTTTTAAGTCAATTTTTGAAAATTTTTGCACTGAAGGAACGAGTTCATTATGATATGTCGGATATACAAATTTCCGGGAGGAAAAATACATAACCAAAAAATATAACACATATCACCCTGATATAGGGGTAGTATCTTGTGGTACACAATATTGAAAGTTGTAAATGAAAATTAGTATATCTCTACTATTATGTATTCAACTATTCTGCTGTCTTGTATGTTCATACCACCGTGATACACTTCCATACCACGTGACATACTCTTCTGTTATTCCAAATAATACTACCATGATATAGACGAGTACTAAATGCCTCAATTTTTTTTCCCAAAAAATATATCAAAGTGAATCTCATTTTAAAGAACACAATTTATATGATTTATTTGTGAAAAAATTAAATTTCAACTTAAAACAAAATAAATATAACTTGTTAAAATTTAGAGAAGTAAAGATTAAAGTTATGCACCAGAATTGCTCCCGCTCGCTAGAAGCCTCAACTTTGTGGTTTTCAAAACATTAATAACCCTTCCTAACCTGAAACAAGGGAATTAAAGAAAACAAAGAGGTCGTTTGCTTCATGGATTTAAAAATGAGGGGTTTGTAATTTAAAAACCCAAGGATTTGAGGCATTATGAA